GTCGAAAGCCTTCGCTTGGATACTAGCGGTGCAGAATTCGAATCAAACTTCGAGAGCACCATTATTGGCCCGTACCGAACGCAGATTCTCAAAGTCTCGGGAACACCAAAAGGACCTGGTGCCTTGAAGGTAACAGGCGCAATCATCCGTGTCCGTGGCTGCCGCGAGAGACGATTCCCTATCTTCAAACAGCCATGGACGCCGCAAGCAGATGTCAAGGTCAAGGCTACCGGACTTCAAGCATTGGAGACCACCCTCGCCTCGGAGGCACTTGTTGGTCAGCTGCTGAAGGTGGAGAGCGTTGCGTTGAACGTCATCCCCAAACAGCCCATTGTCATTGTCAAGTCGACGACACTGCCCCAGTCTTCCGTCATGGTGCTCGAAGGCGAGAGACAGGTCTTCTCCGTCACCCTGCAGAACCTCTCTCGAACAACCCCGGTAGACTTTATGCTTTTCTCTTTCCAGGATTCCACACAAGGACCGTTGCAAGCAGGCATCAACAACAGAGATGCCACGCCAGCCGAGTTGTACGAATACGAGTACATTCTTATGAGGCGCCAAGGTCTTCGAAGGCTGAATAAGAAGGAACCAGAGAAGCGATACATTGCTCCAGGAGGCACTGCCACATTTGATTTCGAAATCCTTGGCAAGCCTGGGTTGACGAACGCTGCCATCCAGATCGACTATGCCCATCTCGGGGTGCCTCCTGAGGAGGTGATGGACAAATTCCATACGCGACAGGTCTCGCTGCAGTTGACGGTGACTGTGAATGCAAGCGTCGAGCTCACGCGACTGGACATCTTGCCTCTCAGCGGACCCGTACCTAAGCCGCTTCTCAGCCTGACGAACCTGGAGTCGAAGGTTGATCCGTCAACATTGGCAGAAGAATACTGCCTTTTGTCTATGGATCTGCGCAACGCCTGGCCGAACAATATGGAGGTCGAAATGGACGGAGAGGACGGCATTGTGATTGAGGAGCACGTTCTCCCAGGGAATACCAGTCGCGTCATCGTGCCTCTACGGCGCATATATCTTGAGGACCCTCACGCGTCGATCCCGGCACTAAACCCATCAAGACAGCGGCAATTTGTCGTCAGCACAAGCAAGATTACGCCCGACATGGAACGCTCGAATCGTGAAGCATTCTGGATGAGGGAGAGAATCCTCGAGACGCTTACAGCTAGATGGAAGACCGTATCTGGCCCAAAGCGAAGCGGTTACATAGACCTGCGAACTATCAGGCTTTCACCTAGGATGATGGACGCTCTCAGGATTGATGATGTCGGTATCGAGATATCGGTTCAGGACCCGGGCCAGGCTCTAGGCGAAAAGGCCAAAGAGACGATACTCGTCGACAACTTTGTCCAAGTCAAGGTTGGTATCACAAATCGGTCGGCCAAGCCAGTCTATCCGATGTTGAGACTGATGCCAGCCTTGTGCCATCGTCCGCTGAACGTGGCGCTGGATTTCACGCGGAAATTTGCCTGGAACGGTACTCTGCAGCAGGCACTTCCGCTGTTGGCGGCTAAGGCGAGTACGGAAGTGGAGATACAAGCCATGGCACTCTGTCGAGGGGAGTTTGAAATAGGGGCTTCCGTTGAGGAGTATCAAATCTGGGAAGAGCCAAAGGAAAAGAAGGAGAAGGAAGAGACACAGGAGAGCCGACAGCGATCGGACACTCAGACGATGCTCAACGCGATCATCGGTGCGAAGGAAAGGCGCATATGGCACTCAAGGCAACCCTGCATCATCAAGGTGGTGGACCAGGATTAGCGATTTGAGCCATTTGCATGACGAATTGTACGATGGCGGACGTGTAGAAGAAGTGATTCACACCCCAAGGGTGGAGTTGGCGATCGCAGCGGCCTTTGTTAAGTAGATAATTGACTTCTTCATAGACGACTCAAGCCACTACTTACTTACCTAAAGTAGCTGTGACGGATTCAAGTGCAATCCAACCCAGGGATGACTCGATCAGCCCGGCGATCGAATTAAGCTCATCCCTGTGTCCCGGACAAAGGGCTCTCGGGCGATTAATGCGTGGGTCTGACCGCCTTCTCGTTTCTGCTGTCGCCACCAAAATTTCTCAGGGAGCGGCTTCCGGTGCTAGCCGACAGCGGGCCTTTTTTACCAACCCAAAGAGTCAGGTCGTTTCCGCCGTACAAGCTTTGGTCAAGCCATTCCCGTTTTGCGAGCGTTGCATCGAGGTTGTCGCTGTCGTCGTCGTCCAAAGGAAATCCGGGATCTCACTAATAACCAAGGATGACGCGACCTCAGATCCTGTTTCTCGATGCTTACGACTCCTTTACGAACAATATCGTATCCCTTCTCACAACGCTGCTTGACGCCGATGTTCATGTCTTACCAATTGACACGCCCTTGCTAGACCAACAGTCGCCGACGTTCTCGGTTGATTTTCATCAGGAATTATTACGGTACCATGCAGTAGTCTGCGGACCTGGGCCTGGCTCCCCCGAGAATGAGACGGACGTTGGGCTCATGAGATGTATTTGGAGATTGCAAGATGAGCATATTCTGCCGGTTCTTGGCATTTGTCTCGGGTTCCAGAGCCTCATTCTTAGCTCGGGCGGCAAGGTGAGGAGGCTTCAACGCGGGTTGCATGGTATGGTTCGCACCATTCAGCATGAGAAACCTGATGCGACGTGCGCCGAGGGCATCTTCAATGGTGTCTCCGAGTTCAAGGCGACCCTTTATCACAGCCTATGTGCCGACATCGGACAAGATTCTATCTCAGATTCCGCTTGGGCAGAGTGCCGTTGGCGTGCTCAAAAGACGGCTCCTGAGCTGTTGCCTCTGGCGTGGGTGGATGAGGAGAGGGACAGCGGCCGCGAAAGAATCCTGATGGCGGTCAAGCACCAAAGCAAACCGTTTTGGGGCCTCCAGTACCACCCAGAGTCCGTCTGCACCCAGCCGGCAGGCCATGCGGTCATCAGCAACTGGCTCCGCGAAGCCATGGCGTGGAATCAAAGGGCGAACAGGACCGTGTTGAGCGGACAGCGGTTCCTGGCAAGGAATGCCGTGAAGCCGAGTCTCCTCTGCGAGAACCGTGCTGCGGCTCAGCGAAGGAACGCGCCGGTCCTCGAGTGGACGGAGATGCCCACGCCCCTGGCGACTGTCGGACTCGACTGCGAGTACAGATACAAGACCATCAGCCTTCCGGCGAACGTCAAGGTGCCGGATATTGTGGAAATACTAAAGAGCGGCAGGACGGAGCACATTATTTTGGATTCGTCCAACTCGAGCAACATGGCGACGGGCGCTGCGGACGTTCGGGGCCGGTTTAGCATCATTGCACTGGATGTGGAGGAATGTCTGCGGATCGAGCACCACGTTGGAGACGACTTTGCCACGGCTCGTATCCCTTCAATCCAGGGACTGCCCGTCGACCTCGTGGAGACTGTTCCATTCGGATTGCGAAAGAATATTTGGCATATCCTCTCCGGCTTCCTTGAGAAGCGACGCATCCCGGCGTCAGGGGAGCTTCAGACGCCGTTCCGAGGTGGCTTCATGGGCTATCTTACCTATGAGATGGGACTCAAGGGGATCGACGTCACGGTGACTGCCAACAGAGGGCATCAGAGACCTGACTTGTGCTTCGCTTGGGTCACGAAGAGTATTGTGGTCGATCACGTCAAGGGCCTGTTACACATCCAGCACCTCCAGAAGCGCAAGCTCAACGGCGACTTCTGGATCGACTCCGTAGTGGCATCTTTACAGACGTCCCCCTTCTGGCAATCGCCAGGCAAGGCCGCCATCAACGGTTCGGATGCTTCGACTGTAGTCACGAGGCCCATCATCCGAGTCCCTGCCGCTGAAGAGTACGAAGCCAAGGTCTCTCGCTGCCAAGACTTCATCGCGGCCGGGGAGTCCTATGAGCTATGCTTGACGGACCAGACAACCATCACTCTACCAGGACGCCCAACAAGAGACCACAACGGCCTCGCCGACGGACACTCACCCGCACAAAACAAATCCGCACACGTCGCGCCATGGCGGCTCTACAAGACGCTCAGAGCTCGCCAGCCCGCCCCCTTTGGCTCCTTTCTCCGCCTCGGCGGCGCGACTCTCATCAGCAGCTCCCCGGAGCGCTTTCTCGAGTACGATGCCGACGGCTTCTGCTCCATGCGGCCGATGAAGGGCACCGTCCGCAAGTCGAACCAGGTCGCCACGCTCGCGCAGGCCGAGGCGATCCTGCACGTGCCCAAGGAGGAGGCTGAGAACCTCATGATTGTGGATCTCGTCCGGCACGACCTGCACGGCGTCTGTGGCTCGGGGAATGTTATGGTGCCGCATCTGATGAAGGTGGAGGAGTACGCGACCGTGTTCCAGATGATTACCATTGTCAACGGACAGCTGCCGAAGCCAAAGTCCTCGAGTGCCGATCGCCAACATACGGGGCTCGATGTCCTTGCGGCTAGTCTCCCGCCGGGCAGTATGACAGGGGCCCCGAAGAAGCGGAGCTGTGAGCTGCTGCAGGAGATTGAGGAGCATAGGGAGAGGAGTCTGTACTCTGGCGTGGTGGGGTACATGGACGTCACCGGCAAGGGAGACTGGAGCGTCACGATCCGGACCATGTTCAAATGGGACGATGAAGCTGCGCCGCCGGAGGAAGGTGAGATGGAACCGAGAGAGGTATGGCACATCGGAGCCGGTGGTGCCGTAACCATCCTGAGCACTGCTGAGGGTGAGAGGGAGGAAATGTTTACCAAGTTGGCGGGGCCTTTGGGCGTCTTTGCGGAAGCATGAGCGGGTTTCAGGATCGGGAGACTGACTGGGAGGAAGGAGGGACTGTTTTTCCATTGGAATTGGCTTATTGGCGTTTATTTTGTCATGAAGGGGGCTATTCATGGTAGAGGGTGTTTGGTTGATACCTCAACGTATCTGGGATATTAGACTCTGGACCTTCACGGGTATTAGACTCAACTTTTAGACGACCCGGATCATCCACACGAAAGAAAGTAGAAAAACAAGATCATCATTAAAATAATCCATGTTTCGCGATATCAGCTTCCGCAGTTGGTCATTGGGGAATTAGATGGGGTTGTCGTTGCATAACAAAAGCGAGAAAAAAAAGAGGAAACGCCCGCCTGACGGAATGATGCTGGATATACATATGAAGCCTCCAAGTAAAAGCGCACCCCGATCCAAGTCCCACTTTGCCGGATTCCCGAACCCGAGCGCCACGATGGTTTCCGACCTCGGCTCGTCGTACTATACATGTCTGCCGCCAATTTCGTTGAAATGCGTATGCCCCCCTTCTCGTCACTGCTGCTGCTGCTGGTGACACTACTTCTCCTTCGCCTATTCATAGCTGTATCAGGTGTCCTGAGTCGCTGCTCCCGATCCTAGTCAGAAATCCTGCTCCTCCTGAAAGAACATGCCGAAGCTGATGATGGTTCCGTAAATGAGGAGACCGCCGATTATCGACATGACCATGGCTTCAACCTGGATGAGATCGGAGTGGGCGAGAACGACGGGCAGGGCTACGGTAAAAGAGCACGGTCAGCAACGCAATCCTCCCAATGAACAAAGACAAACAAGCCACAGGTAGATAGCAGCTTACCAATTCCCATAACCACCATGAAGCCGGTGCAGAAACGGCCGAGATCCAGTACGGCAGAGCCGGAACCCTCGCCAAAGTCATCAGGGTTGGTGCATCGCGAACAGACCCAGTTGGGGATCGGGGCCAGCACGTAGGTGGCGACGACGAGGAGCGGGTAGTAGACCTTCCAGAGGGCGCAGGAGAGAATGACGAGGAGGAATCCGACGGCGAGGACGAAGGAGAGGGCGATGATGGTCTTGAGGCCGGCGGTCGGCATCTTGGCTGTTGTTGGAAGGTGGGCTGTGGTGTACTTGTTTCGGACGGGTATCGAAATCGGAGCTGGGTATGAACGGCCCCGCCGGGGCTGCAAATCGATCCCTTGGGTGTTTGCTGGAAGATCGGTTGAAGAATTCGAGCGGCGATTGTCTCTTGTAATTAGGCCGTCTTTTGAATGGTCGTGGGGAAGCTTCGTTGGTGGTGGAGGATGAGTCGGTCGTGTCAGTCGTGTAGTAGTTCGCGGCTAGGCTGGCAGGCTGAGCTGCGATGCGATGGCGGGTCCTGGGCCAGACGCACGAAGGCCGTCGTCAGCGCACGGCGCAACCTTGTTCCAGCAGCCGGGCAGCCTCCAATGACAACCCGCGAGTGGTAGGGGCAGGTCTCCACCCGGAAAGACCCCGGCTGTGGGTGAGGTCAGGAACGGAGTACATAGGTAATAGGCCTGGAAAATGTACGTACACTACTCCGTACCTCAGCGAGGGATGCACGGAGCACCTTGCACCCTGGCACCTGGCTCCAGGCTGAGAGAGTGCTACGAAAGCTCGATCTGCCTTGAGCTGGGCCTGGCGTGCGGGACGCTTTATTATCCACCAAGCTCTCTCGCTCTCCCATCACCGACCTGCTCGCCCAACAACCACCCCGCGATCACTTCTCTCCCTCCCGTCCCTCTCAACCCACCCCCGAACCGCTCCACGAATACTCGAAGTTCCTCCTGCTCCCGGAAACAATCGAACCGCCTGACGAAGCTACGAATTACCCCTCACGCCCGCCATGTTCAGAAACAACTACGACAACGACTCGGTGACATTGTAAGCTGTTTGGCCCGCTTCCTCAGCCTTCCCTTCCAACCTCCCCGGTTTCGTCGTAAATAAGACCAGCATAGAGATGGAAAGCTAATTTACACTGCCTTACAGCTCGCCGCAAGGCCGGATATTCCAGATCGAGTATGCAGCCGAAGCAGTGAAGCAGGGTTCCGTGGTAGTGGGCATTGCCAGCAAAACACACGCCGTTCTAGTAGCAATCAAGGTACGACGTTTACCAAGACCTGGAATACTCCATCTTGCCTTTCTCTGAACCGTTCTCTATCAATTGATACTCGCGGACCTTTACCACGAAGCGCACGAAGCTAACATGCCATTCTTTCCCCGATAGCGCAACGCCGAGGAGCTGTCCTCGTACCAAAAGAAGATCTTCACCGTCGATGAGCACTCCGGCATCGCCATCGCAGGCCTCACCTCGGACGCCCGCGTCCTCTCCAACTTCATGAAGCAGCAGTGTCTCGGCCACCGCATGACGTACGGCCGCTCAATGCCCCTCCGCACCCTCGTCGACATGATTGGCGAAAAGGCCCAGATCAACACCCAGGTTTACGGCAAGCGGCCCTACGGCGTCGGCCTCCTCGTTGCCGGCGTCGACGAGCGCGGTCCTCACCTCTTTGAGTTCCAGCCCAGCGGTATGACGGAGGAGATGGTCGCCTTCGCCATCGGCGCCCGCAGCCAGATGGCCCGTACCTACCTCGAGCGCAACATCGACGCCTTTGAGACGTGCTCCCGCGAGGAGCTCGTGCAACACGGCCTCAAGGCCCTCAAGGAGAGTTTGGTCCAGGACCGCGAGTTGACGGTCGAGAACACCAGTGTTGGTGTCGTCGGCTACACCGAGAAGGATGGCGTCAAGACGGTCCAGCCTTTTAAGCTGTACGACGGCCAGGACGTCAAGGAGTGGCTCGACAGCGTCGCCGCCAGCGAGGGCCAGGGCGGCGGCGAAGAGGGCGGTGAGGGTATGGAGGTTGACGGCTAAGCGCAGCGGGAATGGCAAACTGAGGAAAGTAGGCGCGGATGGAATTCTACGCTGCGTTGCGTTGGGCTATGCCGGATCGTCACCAAATAACCTACCTACCCAGGGTTTGGCTGACTGGGCTCGGCTATGGGAAGGAGACTCACCTTACCTGAACGCACGGGACCGGCCCGTTTAGACTTGTACCAATACACTGCAAAAAGGAGATTCGACAGCCCAAAAATGAGCTGCATCCGATGATTCAAGAGACGAGAAGAAGACATGCAATCTATGTGCTCACTCGTCACCCAGAATCTGAGACAGGTGCCTGAAGATGCAGGTTTGCTTTGTTGGGTTGTGTAACTCATGAAGGTCTATCAAACTACAGTATGTGCAACCAACACCGATGTGACATGATAGATAGCCGACCGATCCCCTATTCCTACCCCTTTCCTTGATTGATTGTCTTATCCCGTGTGTCACCAGCGATCGAAATCGAGGGAAAGAACTCACTTTCCTCGCTTCGCGTCTTTTTATCCAACCCGACTACCTACCGAGCCTGAACATAGAGAAATTGGGAAACACGAAAGGGCGCCAAGACTCCGATACGCATCCGCTTTTATATTGCACACACGCCGATCGTCGCATTTGTCTCCCCGTCCTTGATTCTCCTGCACATGAGGTATCCCTTTCCCCCGAGAAAGACATTCGCTTGGGTAATCTCTGGATCTAGGAGTTGGTCCAGTCGAGCTTGAAGGTGGCCGCAGAGACCTGGTAATCCCTAAGCGCTGTGATGGCGCCCTCGGGGGTGGTGGCGGTGACGAGGATATCGGCGTTGGCAGCCTTGATGAAGCCCTCCTCGACGCTCTTGTTCACCCACTCGAGGATGCCATCGTAGAAGCCGTTGATGTTGAGGAGGCAGATGCCCTTGTCGTGAATACCCAGCTGGTTCCAGGTGGCCGTCTCGAGGACCTCCTCGATGGTGCCGTAGCCGCCGGGCAGGGCGACGAAGCCGCTACCGGGGCCACCGGCGAAGACCTCCTTGGCCATCATCTGCTTGCGGGTGTGCATGTCCTTGACGACGGTGGTGCGGCCGTAGACGGTCTCGTCGGGGACGTACATGTTGTCCTTGTTGACGGTTCCATAGGTGCCGTCACGCTCGTACTTAACGAGGGCCTCAGGGATGATGCCGTGGACCGAGTCCGGACCGGCGAGGGAAACGAGGGTCTTTGCCACTTCACCCATCAGGCCGACGGTTCCACCACCGTAGACTGAGATGTTTGTTAGTTTCACCATGAACTAGAGACACTTATGCTTGAGATTTTTGTCTCCCATGTTCCATCTTGTCTGAGAAGGGTTGCGCCACATGTTGTCATTGATTTAGTGACTGAGACTCTATCGTTGCCCAGTTCCGTGGATGAAGACGGGGTGTCGAAAAAGAGACTTGTATGAGATGAGAAGTGAGAGAACAGTGACTCACCGAGGTCAATGTTGTTCTCCGCCATGATCCTTGCCAACGCACGAGCGGCTTCCATGTGCTGAGGCTTGAAACCGGGAGAGGCGCCGCAGTAGACACAGATCTTGGTCCTCTTTTGCACGCCATTCGTGGTACCGTTGGTGCCGTTGGTGTTACCATTCGTGGTAGTTCCGTTGGTGTTGGTGCCGTTGCCGTTGGGCGTGCCATCCCGGGATGCCGGGAATGATGGCAAGGGAGAAGGGCCGCCGGACTGCATGATGTTTGTCGCTTGCTTGGTTTGTGATGAAAAGAAATTCTTCCAATGAGAGGGATTTCCAAATAAACTAGATATTGGACTTCAAGGTTGGTTTTTCGTTGAAGAAGGGAGAAACTGCTGGAGGAGGTAGCTTACGCGTGAGATGGTACTCAGTCTTAACACTAAGAGGCGCAGTTGTTGGAGGTGAAGATGACGGAGGATTTGTGGAGAAAGATAGTGTGAGGTTCCGTTCCGGCCAAGAGAAAAGAGTCACAACGGTGAGAAAGTACCCGGAGGACGCCGCCTTTTTCTGCGGTATTTTCTCGAGGTTTGGGCTTTTGAAGAAGAGTCCAAGTCCACAAAAAGATCAGAGAAGAAGAGCTCAAGAGAGAAACTGGAAGTCGGGGGAACAGACAGATGGCGGTGAAAAAGAGGCCTGTTATATACGTTACTTTCGAGGTCCAAAAAGGGATGCAAGTTTGTCTTGTTGGTTGGGATGGGCTCAGGGCAAGTGGACAAATGTGTTGTTGGCGAGTTGGTGTATCAATTATCCTAGCAACCACCTGAAGGGCAATAAGAAAGAAAAAGAAAAGAAAGATTGGACGAGGTGAGAGGAAGCACAGATGGGAATGAGACAACGAGATGTCAGTTACCGCCACGGCGCATGGCGACGGGCCGAAGCTCTGGGTTTAGCGCAATAGCTGGGACAATCAATGGCTTCAAAGGGTTCGCTCGGGGATCCGTGGCTCCAGTGCCGGTACAGTAGTGTACGCTTTAGTCGATGCGTAGTATTCCAGCTGGGGGGGAGAAAAGCAAAGCAGACTCCAGACTCAGAGAGCCCCCTTCCCCCTTCGCTCGTTGCTAAACCAGAGACAAGGAACGGGGTCGGGTGACGGTGGTTGACATGGACGTGGACTTGGGACGGTGACGGGGGAACCTGATGACGGATCCGGGACCTGGGACTAGCAGTAGCACATGTACCCTATGATGGAGGTACCTTTGTAGAAGTCTGATACACTTTTTGTCGACTCTGTTGAACTCGACTGGTTCAACCGTTCCCGGGACCTGATGGGTTTTGGGGGTACCCTAGTTCGCCTGCGAGTTTGCTTTGTCAACTTGTTACGCTGCGACTGGCCCGCACAAGTGAAGTGTCCAGGTGACATGTCGGAGGCGAGGTCCGAGTCCAATGTAGTGCGTAATTCAACCTCGATGACTCTAAAGCTGGGCTTGGCTAGGGCCGTCCCGCCAGGATATCCATTCTGAGCTGAAGATGGGAGACCAGAAATGCCCGAGGCATCGATCGACACTCAAGAGCCGCAACTTTTGAATAGGTACTGTTTCATAAGCATGATGAGAATGTCAACCTCTAGATGGGAATCGTGCCAGGTAGTCTGGTCAGGAAACTGCAGTGTCCTCAGAGGCGACGAAGAACCGAAAATGTACGAGACACAGAGACCAAGGTAGAGAGACAATGGGAATGATGTCTCTCGGTTCAAGCCTCAAGAGCGTGTCGCGTATGCCAGGTGTGACAAACGACGGAGACCCGCGTGTACGATGTGCCGCTGACGAATGGACGGAATGTGCCACGGGAGGCCGTGTTCGACGTCGATTGGGCTGGCTCTTGACTTGTACGTGTACGTCGGGTATACGTTACTTGTCAAGATGATGGACGACACGATGTACGAAAGATCTCTCAGGTTGGCAATGGAACCCAGCCGTCTCTTGTTTCCCAATCAAGCAAGGACACAAATAGGACATGATGGGGCAAGGACCTGGCGGATGGGAGTAGGTACGCTACCTACAGAGGTTCCATGCCTCTTTGGCAGGTGCATCCAGCATCGAAACTGCATTTCCAGCAGCCATTTGCTCCCCCTCAGCGTCTAGGGCCCCTGTTTTCCCCCCAAGCCTTCCGCGCCATTCTGCTGGGATCGTGGCGGCGCCTCGGCCGTTGATTCGCCCGAACAGCACGCAATTTGTCCCGCCCGCCACCCAGCCTCCAGGGTCCAGTGCTCGACTTTTGCGATCCATTGCTTTCCGGGGCCAAGCCAATCTCCAATCTCCGTGAAGACTTTCCGACTTCACTTGCTCCAGCACCCGATATTGCTGGCATCCTCGGTATCTGCGCCGGAGAAAGACACGGTTTCGCCTGCCATCGTACTTGAAGGGTTGCTACCTTTTGCGACTATCAGTAACCGAGCTGCCATACGCCATCGGTAGCCGAGTCCGCCGTGTGACGTCCCCGCATCACTTCCCACGAGCACGCGATCTGTCCTCCGCAACTTCGCGATCTTCAATACACTTCTCTAGAGACATTGTCGCGCATTGTACAAGATGTCACAACCCGCAGCAGCAGCTGGTGCTCGCCCTGCTGCCCAGCAGCAGGAGCAAGGCGTGAGTACTTTGCCCATCGCCCACGCGAATTGCGCCAAGAGGCCTCCCGCTAATGTAACATAATTGTAGGGCATAAGCTTGACGCAAAAGCTAGCACTTGGAGCTTCCATGTACTTCGGCATGAACTTGCTCATGAATAACGTGTTCTCCAAGACTCAATCCGGTACCCAGGTCAAAGATGCCGACGGCAATGTTGTCAACGTGCCCGCGAATACCGAGGACATTCCGCCATACCTGCTCCGCCCCAAGGAATTGGACGAGGGTGCAACCTGGAGCCAGATCCCGACCAAGCTGGCACCGATATGGCCCATGGATAGCTACATTGATGTGATCGTCACTCTTTCCGATACCTTTGTTCCGATCCCTCTGGCCCAGACGCCCCCGGAAAAAGTTGTTCTGAAGGAAGAGAAATTCAAGATTGGCAACTATAGCGAAAAGCGCTCTATTGATACGACCATCGAGGTGCCGCCCTCTGTACAGAACAATGGCACTCTTTGGGGCCACTTCTATGTTTCACTGCCCGGTAGCCAGCCCGATCCTCATGTGGAGACCTACGACCCAGCCTCCGCCTACTACTTTGCATTCCCTCTCACCCAGTACATTCCCAAGAAGAAAGAGTTCAAGACCAGGTCCCTTCTGGAGGGCAAGGCCGAGGAGGACGTAGAAGAAGTGGCCGAGGAACAGGAGACCGGTCCCATCATTGCCAGTTACTACCACCCGAATGCCAGCTTCTCCATCATTCCTAACACCGGAGTGCTCGACTACCGCCAGACCCATCCCGCGATTCGCCAATTCCTCCAAGTCGAACCGACTGGTGCCAGAGATGGCTCCGGGAAGCATTCTTGGTATTGTAAGTTGCATCTTGATTCATTTTCATGGGCATAACTGATCAATAACAGACCCTATTCTATTTGTCAACACCTTTTGGCAACTCAAGAGTCAAATGATCCTGCTCAATGACACAGTCACATCTGTTCCTCTGCATATTGACTTGAACAACATGCGTTCATGGCAATTCAACACCCTGGCTGCGATTGAGGCCAGTGCCAAGGAGTCAGCACGTCAGGCTGCTTACGGTGGATCGCTCCCCGGTGGCGGTGACGGCTCCGAGATTGAGATGGTCAAGGAAATCTTTGGTGACACGAACCCGATTCTCCTCGGCATTACCATCATTGTCAGTATTGCGCACATGATTCTGGAAACGCTCGCTTTTGGTTCCGACATTGCGCACTACCGCAAGAAGAAGGACAACGTTGGAATCTCTGTCCGCTCCATTCTGGCGAATGTGTTCATGCAGTCCGTTATCCTGCTTTACCTTATCGACAATTCGCAAAACACCAGCTGGATGATTCTGGGTGGTCAGGGTATCGGCATCGTTATTGAGCTGTGGAAGATCACCACCATTGTCAACGTTGCAATCAAGGCTGCTCCACCAGGCTCATTGCTACCATTCAAAATCGTCGTGGAGGACAAGCATAAGCTTAGCGAGACGGAGGAAAAGACCAAGGAGTACGACGAGATTGCCTTCAAGTACATGTACATGGCTGGTGTGCCTCTGCTCATCGGCTACGCCATCTACTCATTGGTCTACGAGACGCACAAGTCTTGGTACTCGTACATCATCGCCACACTTGTCGGGTCGGTATATGCTTACGGCTTCCTCATGATGGTCCCTTCACTTTACATCAACTACCGACTCAAGAGCGTTGCCCACATGCCCGGCAAGGCCATGATCTACAAGTTCCTCAACACCTTCATCGACGACCTTTTCGCATTCACCATCAAGATGCCCTTCCTTCACCGTCTGTCTACTTTCCGCGACGATATCATCTTCTTCATCTACATCTACCAACGCTGGGCATACAGAATCGACTACACTCGTGTTAACGAGTTTGGCCAGGGTGGCGAGGATGAAGAGGAGGACGATGCGGCCAAGGCCAAGGCTAAGGAGCTGCTTGAGAGCGACCCCACTATTGAGAAGGTGAAGCAAGTGGCGGGTAAGGCCACAGGTGCCGACACCGGCAAGGCAAAGAAGAGAAAGTAAGGAAAATGCTACACGGCAGAGGAAGAGAGTGTGGCCAAGATCGTGTACACCAGAGGCCTGGGTACAATTATCACATTGGAGACTTGGCAACTATGTGCCCTGGACTCTGAGACTGCGTGATGGCTAGCATAGATGGGGCATATTGTAGCCGCCTCACATAGTTAATCGAGGACATTAGTCCAGAAATGTGATCAAGTCCAGTCTCATCGTAATTCACATATCTCGCGCATGGTGCATCTCATATGCAGAAGCATATCAAACTACCAGCTGCACGCTTGGACGAAGGACGAGACGACTAAGAAAGTGTTGAGGAAAAGCAATACCCAAAATGTTCAGCTGAAAAAGGGGGCTCCGCATGTCTGTGTGCAGGGAGACCGGACAATCCAAGGCGAGTGAAAATCTGGGCAGAAAAGCTCCAACAAATAATACCTACTCTGTATCCGTACATTGGTGTAATATCCCACCGGACAGATCGGTGATTTGGCTTTGTAAGGTCCACGGCCCACGGGTAGGTAGTAGAATTGCTCCCCCCTTCGCGGCACGGAAACTCTTCTGAAGGTCGCTTCGCGGCTAAAGATGCCGTAGAGAGACGCGACAGACTACTTTGTAAGGTAAACTCCCCCCGAACCAAACAGGGGCCCCAGCAAAAGAGTCGCTTGGCGGGGGTTCGCAGCTGTCGGAGCCCCGTGCCTGGTAGGGCAGAGACAAGCTCGTATGTCACCGCGCCTATCAGAGAGTCCCATTGGGGAAACCTGGAAGGCCTGGAAGGGGGGGGGATGACGCCAGGCCCATCTCCAACGGTGGTGTTTTGGGGCTAGGATGGTGCCAGCTCCACGTTCTGCTTGCTAATGTTCCTCTTCACTTGATGTGCCTCACCTTATATACTAGGCTCTTCGTAAGGTAGCCAGGCCGTAATTGCGCACGTTAAGGTAAGGTCAGCACATAAGATACCTAGGCACCTACGTAGTACCCGTAGCTCATCCCCTACCATTTACCCAGGTTATGGACCATGTGGCATGGAGACCTTTTAGTGTCGGTCTTTCGTCAAAAGGTGGAGAATTGCGGGATCTGTATACCGAAAATAGTTCACAGTGATTGCCGTCGTTCCTGAGCTGCAGAGCAAATAGCTCTTGGCCTCTCCTTTAACTCGGTTGATCGGATCGTGTCCACGCAATGCAGTGTTTGAATGGGATGGAGACAAGTTGAAGCCAGAGTGTGTGTATTTCGAAAGATGAACGCGGTTTTCGGTGGTTTTAGTTTCATGGAAAGGTGACGGGACTCGGGAAGGAAAGAAGAAGTGCCCCCTAGGAGTCTAGGACCCTCCCCAGTTGGGGCCTTCCAAATGTCATCGACAATACGAAGAGTTAAAAGTTGCCCAAAGCAGTCATGGCTGACCTAGACATCCACTCTCAGAGGCACCCTCAAAACCTAAAGTTTCCTCTACTTCCCCTCCGTCTTTGACAGCCGCATAATTACCTTAGAAGTTAGGAGGATTGGGTCCAGTCCGTTCCTTCCTTCGCCCAGCCAGCGTACGGAGTAGTTAACCAAACACACACCAGGACCAACCAGGGAAAAATAACAACCGAACGCAATCTTTCTCAAACTCCCCAGTCTCTTTTTCTCTCTCTGACTTTTGCGTCTCTCTGTCTCATACCTTTTCTTTTCCCTAAACTTTCTTTCCGCATTCCTGCCAACACTTCCCGTCTTTCACCACGTTGCCCTTCGACGTTTTCCCCGTTACCATCGCATGTTTTACTTCTCCTCTCTTTAACCTCCGTTTGAGCCTCTCGGTCCCTCCGTTTGTCACATGCCCGGGTTCCCCCGTCCATCACTCCAAGTTCGTCCCATGCGTCCGCTCCGGTCATGACATACGGACGGCCGCATAGGGTCCCCCAGCAACCACTTTGAGAAATTTACTTTGAAGTCCGCCTAGCACGCTTCAGAGAGCACAAGCACAGGCACACAGGCACACAAGCCACACCCAAAGGTCGTCGGACTACAGCGAACGCACCCGCCAAGCAGAGCTCCGGACCTTCGGTTCAATCGACGGGGATTCGAGGTCCACGCTGCCTCGTACGCAGTGGACAGTGGAGTTCCACAACGCGTACCTGACGTCTCTCGTCATCCCAAATAGGGTCGTCCCCGGCACCCCGTTCGCTCCAAGGGGAGGGAGCCAAGAGCCTACTCTACGGGAAACGTAAGCTACAAAACCTGTTCGGACGGTGTGGCCGTGCCGCCCGCGTGCCCGCGCCCGCCGTCCGTCATCCACGACCCTCCAGCTCCAGTCCCCTGATCCCCCAGTCGGGATATTTTACCCCCCAAAGGGCCTAAAGGGGGCGCTCCAACGCCCATTTATCATTGGGGCGCGCGCCGCACGGCACCGCCAAATTCCGACTACCCCTCGATCCCATTGTCAAGCGTCGCCGCCAAACACTCTTTTGATTCCCCAACGACTCCCTCGAAAAGGAAGCTTTCGAGGGAATCGGAGGGCTCGCCGAATCATGAGCAGCCCTACCGTCGGGTCCCTTCTGGCTGCCATTGCGACACTTGTCAGTGATGGCCTGCGTATCTTACAGTTCGCCGATAAGCGCCAATGGGGACCTGACGAGCACGAGCAATTGCGCCTGCTGGAGGATACCCTCAACGACGCCAAGAAGGACTTCCAGGAGCTTTCTGTCCTTGTCAACGGACAGCGCTATTACATGAACGACCGCAAACGTGAGTCTACGAGCGCACTTACACTGATTTTGCTTGCCCTGCGCTGGCTTGGGAGCTTGATGGACTATAGAGCCCTGCGTTACAGCGGAGAGAGGGAGGCCTCTGTGATTGCCAGCCTGCTCCCCGTCAAATTTCGCTTCGTGCTAGCTCACGTTACGCACAACTGGCCCTGAACCCTTGCTAACTGTTGGTCTTCAAGCTCCGTCGATCGCCGAACTGCGAGCTTTACAGTCCAAGGTCGAGCATCATATCGAGAACTTCAAAGATTGGACAAAGACAGGCGGACCGATCAACCCAGTATGGGCACGAGAGACGACGCAACTGCGCCGCGAACTACACCGCGCACAATGCCGAGCAGCTAGGAGGATATTTGCGGCAGAGCAAGAGGCGTCAGCAAGATGCCTGGGTGCCTTTCTCGTTCACAGAAAACAGCGTGAATGGCAGAATCGGCCTGCTACTTCAGAGGAGGAGCACCATAGACGACACGTGGAAGAGGTGGTAGCATGCAACACAAGTGGCAAGTTTGAGCGATTTGGCGACGGAGGCATTGCCTTCGTTTGCGACTTTTGCGACGGTCATCTCGTATGGGAAGACCTGGAGAGCATGCCATCATTACGCACAGCCGAGGAATCCAGCACGCGCCCGGTACCGCCCATTTCGCCAACGACCGGGATGCCGCACTGGCAGGCGACTGGGTTTACCGCCGACAAACGAAGAGAGGAGAAGACGGTAATATTTGCGCCTCTGGCGATAGCGAATCATATGGCGCCGTATCAGGGGGACTGGGTAGCCCGGCTACTATGTCCTTTTTGCGACGAGGCGCCGTATACCGAGGCAGGCGGTGACAGCGACGATGAGATGCGGAATGCCCAGGATGAATCCGGCTTCGAAGATCTCCAGGCCTTCCAAGAGCACCTAGAGTGGCAACACACAGCGGCGTCAATACCCGCTGTCCCCTTGCCCAAGGCAGCCAAGGACTGCTTGGTGATGTGACATTATTAATTCGACAACGATGTCTATTGGTGGCGTAGAAACGGCGATTCGTTCGTGTACATATATTCAAAGTGTGTGGTCCTGACATAGGCGAGGCGTTGGGGGCTTCCAAAGAGGGCGGAGATCCGCACCTACGACTCATGGAATTATCATTTACTATTATTCGATGGCAGAAGGCTACTTCAGGAAGTGTTGGGGATGGCCCTCATCACCAGTCTGGATAGACTCATGCAGCAACAGAGATACCACAGTTCGGTAGTGCTGGATCATATTCCACATTCAAAGACTTCAAAAACCAATGCTTGTTTTGTTGCCCCTCTCCATCTTCCCCTGCACCCGCCTGAGAAGTCCGTGCCGTGAATTTGATTGATGTACATGAATTGAGAGAGATACATACACAGTCGCCAATAAAACGCCCAACATTGTCGTAGAAACCTTTGCCTTTCTCAGGCCAAAGGGTCAAACAACCACTTAAGGGAACAAACCGTCACTTGTCCTCTCGTTCGCACCGCCAAAAGAAAAACCAAAACAATGCCATAAAACCCCCTTTTTTCTTCAAAAGAAACGCCACCAAAAGAAGACAATGACAATGAACCCCAGCGCACCAAGGGGACCGTACTGCTTCAGCAGCAGCTCCCAGTTAATCCTGACAGCGGCGCGCCTGTACTTTTTGCTATCGTCGCGCAGGCGGGAGCTGAGCTCGCCCATGCGGTCGAGGGAGTCGCCGCGGTAGAGGAGGTCCTCAATGTTCTTGGTCATGACTTTGGTGACGTCGCGCAGCTCGTCGTTGAGCTTGTCGAGGTTCTGGGAGGCGCGGGAGTCCGAGTAGGTCGACTTTGTGCGGTTGATAAAGGTGTCGAATTCCATGAAGGCGTAGGGGCGGAGGGAAGGGGAGTGGAGCTGGGAGACGGGGTAGGTTGTTGTGAATTCGCGGGCGAGGTCGGAGAGGTAGGTGAAGGCTAGTTTGCGGGGGTAGGATTTGTCTGTTATGCAGATGAAGGTTATGTCTGAGTCCATTAGGTAGCTGTTGCGAGAAGGCAGAAGGTTAGCAAGATGCTGGGTTCTCATTTCCTCTGTCTCGACGTCTTCTGAGCTCGATGGGGATTTTAGGGGGGGAGTGGAAGAGTAGACGGACTTGAGGTTGTAGGCGCCGCTTTCGATGCTGGCTTGGGGTTCCGAGTTGCGGGTGAGCTTGCGCAGGACTTGTTTGATTTGCGACTTGACTTCGGAGAGGGCTGCTTCTTGTTGCTCGTCGTCGACGGATGCGCAGAGCATGAGGCCTAAGGTGGGAGAGCTGGGTGTTAGTCGAGTTGTCCTCCTTGAACGGGTTACATGGCTCAAGTAAGAGGAGTGCGCGTACCGTCGAGCCTCGCTATTTGGGTTGAGCGGATCATCGTGTCTGTGTTGGGTTTGTGATTGTGAAGGAAACCGGTTGTCGTCGCTCGTAGGTCAAGAGGTGCGGTATAGGAAGGGAGCTATCGACGGTTGGGTTGTATCGACGTGTCCTCTGAGATAGCTTCGATGCCTGGCCCAAAGGTATGGGGATGCGCGGACTGGCGAGAGGTTTTGGCCGAATGGTGTGGTATCTCCGACTGGTTTGTTCAAGTCACGGGTACTTTTTTCGAGGTATCGTCGAGGTGTTCGTTGTGATGTCCTTTTTCCGAGCCAGGGGTGGTCGCTTTTTCGCTAGCAAGTAAATCAAAAACCATGGATCGCCGTCGACAATATGTCCCGTAGGGACGGGAGCTCTCCACCTACTGTCATTGAAGATGACACCATGGGCGGTCATCACTGGCCAATTGGAGGGCTTGCGCGGGGGTGTAGCCCCTGCGTCTTTGGGACGATGTGGCGCCCGTGGCCCGGCCCAACCCAGCCTTGCCCTGTTCTACTGAGAGTACGGCGCCCAGTACTTTTAGGGGAACTGCCTCAACTCACTCAGAACTCAACGTTTAGGAGTTCTTCTCCTGACCATTTACACATTTTGAGGGAGGTGTGGTGGGAGCGTAGCTTAGTCGCGACACTGCGCCCGATAATTATCCCACGATCTTTTGGCACAAATAGCCTTGCCCATCTAATGATTTACTGCTCTAATAAACAGGACTTGACTGTTTCATTCTCAAACTGCGTGGAGTGCCGGAGTCTCATCTTTAATTGTTGTTCGTAAGTTCTCAAAATATGTCTACTATATCATCCCATGTCCGGACACTGCTGTGTAGGAAAGAACAATCAGCAAAGAAGGTCCTTCTTACCTTATGCTGCCAAATCTATCGCCCGTATCTTCTAGACACTACGGATCTTTTTTTTTTTAGCCAAGTCCTTTGAACTCCGTTTAGCTAATACCCGGTTCAGAATTCTTTCCATAGACACTGTAAACGTAAACTGGCAAACGTCATCCATCCACCCGGCCACTCATTCAAGATGGCAGGAGTCGCATCGGATATAGAAATGGCAGACGCCTGCGCTCCATCCTCATCCTCATCCTCTGACCTCACCCCTCCACCCACTTACAGCTCAGACTACGAGGAACTCCCCAAGAAAGTCAAGAAGACTTCCCCTAAAAAGACAGTCGACTCACTCAACACGCGGGACGACCCGGGATCAGAAGCTGTCGGCACAGAACATACCAGCCCAGACTTGCCCACCATGGCGCGACGTTCGGCACGCAATTCGATAAAGCCCAAGCCCGGCACTGCTTCTCCTCCGAGAGTCACCAAGAAAAAACAGCCTACCAGAGTTGTGCCCAAGAAGGTGCCAAAATGGACAACGCAGAAGCTCCTGACGGATCCCAACTCGCCGCTTGCTAGCGCTAATCTCAGAGTGAGTGAACCCTTGTAGCTTGGAAGAGACGATGTTATATTATCTCAGATTTCTTGTTCCAACTCGACTGTGCTAACATACTGCGACCATTTCCAGGCGATGCTCTGCCAGCCAGCGGCATGGGATATACTCACCAAAGAAGAGCGCGCCGAGATCGTCGGTCTCTTCCCAGCCGGCACACGCATCCTCGACGCCGGCACTTACGACGCCCGTCCAGACTTTGACGCCCTTCGCAATGACAACAACTTCCGCCACGACTGTGCCACGTACGCCGACAACATCTCCCTGGGAAAGCACGACCCCGAGTGGCTCGAGCAGGCGTGGGGCGCGCGCGAGCGGCGGCGGGCGGGCGACTTTGACGACCACGTTACGCAAAAGTTTGAAAATGAATGGTCCTGCAATGTGCCAGAGGGCTTTAAGCCGGACAGAAGTAGCAGTGCACCAGGTCCCGCTGCGTCTGCAGATGTTGAGAGGACCAGGGTTGAGCAGAAGGAGGAGATCATCAATCAGGGGGAGGAGCAGATTATCGACAAGGTCCAGACGGAAGGAGATGTCGTCAACCAGGCGGAAGAGATGAAGGCTACGGTCAAGAACGTTCCGGCTACTACGGATACGACGAATGACGTTAACATGGCAGAGGAGAACGAAGCTAGAGAAGCACCTGGTGTCACACTTGGGTCTCCTCTTCCAGACGACATCTTATCAGCAAAGAACGGCGCTCCTACCCCCGAGATATTAGAGCTGGCGTCTGCTATGCCCGAAGCCTCGGCGGTGCCGCTTGCGAGCGTTGCTCTAGACGATTCATCCCCGAAGACCACTCTTCGAGATCCAGGCGAGGAGACAGAAAAGCAAAAGGAGAAGGAGTAGGCAACTGCGGAAGGATATGGACAAGAGCCTGTCCCTGAGGAGCATCCTCGTGCTGGCGACGTTCATGAGAATGCGAAGGCGTCGGAGCATCAAGGCTGAGAGTCGCCGAAGAAGACGAATGCAGAAGGTCTTTTCCAGGTGCAACATCACGAATCATGATTCACGAAAGGAAACGGAATTTGAGCAGGTCGGAGATACCTATTTGGTGGGCGACACAGGATCTGGATTGCCGTCTAGATGAAGAGCTTTTCTTAGTGGGGCCTGTTAGCCACGGGATCTAATGATATGATCCGCACAATTTTGAAATCCTTCATTAATAAGTCCATGATCGTAAAGGAAGCCTTGTTGTCGGCCTCGGTGAAAAGTCCTAATGTTGACGCCCGATGGTGGTAGTCTCGGTGAGTGCCCCACATCACCGAGAAACCCCAAATTGAGTGGGCGAAAAGCGTCAACCACAGAAATCGCACCTTGGCAATCTTCACTCTCAATCATCTTACTGTCTAATCCGAGAAGCTTTTTTTGTGCAGAATTCCCACACTATAGTGTCACAGAGTCGTTTCTCGAAAATATAACCAGCGACAAGATTCGCGAGTTCAGACTATAGACATTGCTCGGCAAATTCCTTTCTTCACAATACATCGGGAATATCTCTCCCAAGACCTGCCACGATGGCTCCCTCGGCGGAAAATCACAGTCGGTCGCATAGCCTCTTACTGTTCCAGAAGCTGCTCAATCTGAGGGATGGCGCGAGTCCTTTGACCTTGGTGCTGGACAGCCTCGAGCAGAGCGCCGCGCCGGTCCTTCGGGAGTTCGTCTCCAGAGCCAAGGTACGCGCTACTGCTTTTCATGACTCTGTAGATAGATGCTGTTGTGCCCCCCATCTAAAAGAGATGCTATTATTTCTGATAATACGCTTTGAATTTCTGGTGTTAACGAACTATATAGGTTGCAAAGGCCAAAATAATTCTGCTCTCTTTCGCGACGCTCAAGCGCCCACGAGGCGTGGACGTCGTCGTCAGAGCCCGCGGGAAGAACCTCAAGGCACTGAGAGCAGAAATCCTTTCACATTATCCCAAGATGGACCCTACAGCAGCCAAGGGCGCATCTCCATCCCAAAGTGAGTGCCGCCACCCTCACCCACCCTGTGGCCTCTTTCGTTTTTAGCCTCACCATGACACACACTCTCTGACTCACATATTCGCGGCCCAGAAACTGTAGTCCTTCTCGACTCCCTCAATGAGCTCGCTACAGCGGCGCCGCAGATCCTGCCCAGCTTCCTCTCCAGCATCATCATGCCCGCTGTGTCGCTCGTGGCCGTCTACCACACCGACGTGCCCCTCGTCCTCCCGCGCACCGTGAGCGAGTATGAACCGCACCCACTGACGGTGCTCTCCCACCTCGCGACCTCTATTCTGCGGCTCTCGGGTCTACGGCAGGAAATTGAGCGCCAAAAGGCGCGGAACAGGAGTCTGCAGGAGCCCGAGTGGGGTCTGGGTGAGGGCCGGGAGGGCGTCCTCGTCGGGCTCAAGGGCGATGTCAAGTCGGAGGATTATCACGGCGTCGTGGTCGAGATGGAGGTTAGGAGGCGGAGCGGAAGGGCCATGGCGGAGAAGTTTGTTGTTTTGCCGCAGAAAGAACAGGTTTCGTCCGCTGCTGGTGTTGCAGCAAGGGGGTCGAGGATTTTCCTCCTTTCGGAGCACCCCGTTTTCGCTGCCCCTGGGGATTCTGGCGAGGCAGATGCAGGTCACGGGGAGGACGAGGAGCCGGAGAGCACGTTCAACCTGGGTCTCACGGAGAAACAGCGAAAGGACAGAGAGGGTATTGTTCTGCCTTACTTTGACGCGCAAACGGATATAGGGGCTGGTGAGGGTGGCAGGATTCTCTATGAGATGGGTAGGGAGGATGATTTTGATGACGAGGAGGATGAGATTTAGGCGGCCTTACCCGGGCTTACTACTAGGTACGGCAAGACACGCGCTTAGGATGACGGAACTTCCATTACTTCTGCCAATGGCAGCGTGAAAGATGAATTACCTCAGGCATTTGACAAGGTGAATGTGAAAGAGTGGTCGGTTACGAAGGCACTTTGGTCAAGTGAGGTACCTCCCTCAGCCAGGCATCAACACAGGGTAGAGTGAGGCCATTGCCAGGCAACCGAAGCCAAGTGGCTCACCCTCCTTCCTCCATTGAGGCCAAAATAGCAAACGGAAGGAGGCAACGTCCCGCAGCTGCCTCCTATGACAAGGCATCAACCACCCTACCTCATCAACCCACGAATCACAAAATTCTATCCTGCCCATCGAATAATACGGCACTCGTCAGAGGTATTTCCAGTACGTACCTTTACTGATCGGGGGCCGTCGCACAGGCCATGCCCAAAATCTATATCAATGCCTCTTCCCACCCGCGACTTTTACACCTTTTCTCTTCTTTTTCTCCTTAGCTCTTCTTTGCCTTTTGGCTTAGATCAAGTGTAGTATCTGTTCTTTTCAGTTTAATATCTGGAAGTCCCCCAATGGGGGACAATCAATATTATTCCTATTTTTGATCTTTTTGGGGAGCGGTCCCCCTGGCTTGCCAGATTACCGCCTCCCACCGTGTCCCTGGTATCACACTGCCTCCAGGCGACGCAAAATTTTGTTTTTCATTGCTTGCTCTGGCTTGTCCAAGGCAGTGAAGAAGACGCGTGATGAATTGATGTCTTAGGTGCTATGTGACTTTCTGCGCAAAGACCAGCTTGATGGCTGACAGCAGTCGATCTACAAGGTGAAGTTACATCGTGATGTTGAAGGTTTGGCATGTCGTGGTGTTGCACCAAGTGAATCCGCTAGAGCTTTCCAGTAAAAGTCAGTGGAGCTTGCCCAGCGTGTCCGACCACCGAGCTCCTGCAAGGCTCCCGCGCTAAAAGTTTGGGGGCGGAAAGCTTAAACTCTACCCAATTAAGCGCTTCTTCAGGTCATCAGTCCCTGCCAAACATCATCTGAAGACTTGCCATCCCCAAATTTTCCTCAGCCTCACAGTGACGTTGTTTCCCAAGTTTAATCCCACACCGCCAAGCTCCTTTTCCTACGACTTTTTTCAGCGCAAAGTATCTAGGGCCAACATCGCATGCAGAATGGGTCGCGGACGCGATAACAGACAGGTCTGGGACGAGCCTGACCGACGCAGTCGCCACAGCGGAGGAGGAGGAGGCCCTCGAGGAGACCGAGACCACGAAAGCTACAGAGACCGCGACGGCGGCGGCGGCGGCGGCAGACGAGACGACCGCGACAGGAGAGACGACGGCGCCAGGCGATACCGCTCCCGATCCCGCGACCGCCGCGACAGAGACCATCGCCCCAGATCCAGAGATCGCGAGAGCGGCAACCACCGCCCGGGACGCGACGATCGCCATGGAGGCGCAAGGCCGCCGCGCAGAGACCGCGGTGGCTGGCAGGGCCGAGATGATAGTGACAGTAGGCGGCGTAGAGACGATGATGAGCCAGCGCCGGCGGGGGACGAGCGGCCTCCGAGGCGGCAGTTTGGTGATGATGATGAGGGACGCAGTAAGTTTAATCATATCCGTCTAGCCTTGTTTGGCGCAATAGAGACTGACGTTGTTTGTGCAAAAGGTACACCGCGCGACAGCAACAGAGACCGCAGACGATCCGCCTCCCCACGCCGAAGCGGCAGCCCGCCGCAGCCTACGACCCGTCGCGAGCAGGGCGGCGGCGGGTACACTGAGTCTTTACCCACGCGCACGGTTCAGAGAGGGAAGAAGGAGCAGCAGCATACCATGTCCTTTAAGGTTGGACGACACGACTCGCCGTATGTCGATAGCGGGAGGGATAGCGAGCGCGGCGGGGACACGCCGATGACGACGGGTGGTGGTGGTGGTCGTGGCCGGGACGGTCGAAGCGAGGAGGAGGATGACGAACCTGAGCCCGAGGTCGAGGATGATGATATGGCGGCCATGCAGGCGATGCTTGGGTTCGGCGGGTTCGGGTCGACAAAGGGCCAGAAGATTGCGGGGAATAATGTCGGGACTGTGAGGAAGGAGAAGAAGACGGAGTATCGCCAATATATGAACCGGCAGGGTGGGTTCAACCGGCCGCTCAGTCCTGGTAGATGAGTCGCTTCGTGAGGGGCTCGCGGGAACTGGTATTCTGGGGTCGAGGGTTGCTAGAAGGCGGATATATTAATGGGGCAACACAAAGCACGACTTTGTCATGAATCGGACAGTATCAGGTACGCTTCGCGCTTGTACTATTGTTGAGATACCTATAGATGAACAGGAAAGAAAGATGTTCACAACAGCTGAGTCCATGTAGACGTGCTTGCCTCATATCGAGCTATGACCTGGCTCAGCCTGATGCAGTTGACGCGGGTGCGGGTGGTGTAGATTCCCTCGTCTTTCCCTCCTTTGCCTCAGCCTTGAGCTCGCTATCGAATATGTCAACAGCGAGACTCGCGTCCACGAAATCCTCAAGCTCCTCCGTCACCGTCTTAAGCTTCTCCTTGACCGCGGTCGCGCCCTCGAACCCGACGATATGTCTCGCCGGCGGGTTCTCGTGCCCGCCAATCGCCGTCAGAGCGTGGACCGTCTCCAGCACGAGACGATCCGTGGCGCTGGGCGGCAGCTTCGGGTACCGTACCTGGACATCCTCGGTCTCGTTGAGGTCGGGCACGGCGGTGTCCGGGTTCATGTTGAGGACGTTGCCGAGCATGTCACGGATGCTGGGCGCCGGGTTGATCTCGGCGTCGTACCACGGCAGCTGGGGCGCGAAGATAATCTTGTTGGTGAGGGACTGGATCTCCTTATTGGGCTGGACGATGGTGACTTTGATGTTGAAGGGGGCGATCTCGTAGGCTAGCGAGTCGCAGAAGCCTTCGAGGGCCCAGATGGCCGATGTGTAGATGGGCATCCCGGGCGTGCCGATGTGGCCGCCCGTGCTGGAGAGGATGATGATGTGTCCCGTGTGCTGGGAGCGAAGGAGCGGCAGGGCGGCCTTGATGAAGTTGACCTGTGAGAAGAAGATTGTCTCAAACTGGTCGCGGACTAGGTTTTGTGTTAGAGGATTCGTGGATAGCTCCTCTACGCTCCCTACGACGGCTATCGAGGGGTTGTCAGCATTGTACTGTTCACATCAAAAAGAGGGCTCGCCGTGAGATACCTTCAGATTTGCAGCATAAGAGGATATCGATCCTGCCAAACACCTGAACGGCCTCCGCCACGGCGGCACCGCACTGGCCCATGACCCGCCCATCGCAGCGGATACCACGTATCCTGTCCTTCCATCCTTCGCGGTCCTTACGGTTGCTCTTACACTCGTTAATCAGCTCTCTAAACTCGGCGCTGCGGCCGTCGTCCTCAATCTCGCTCGGCGGCAGACAGGCGACAACATAGTCACCGTGGCCCAGAAGCAGTCTGATGAGCCTGATGATGAGCGGCGAGAGGGCTGTAGTCAAGAACCACGTCCTCGGCGAATTGTGCGTAGCTGAGGAGTGAGGGGCATATTAGCCAAGAGTGTGCGCTGCCAAGGAAACGCCGTGCTGCTAGTGAGGGGAGGTGAGATACTCACGGAAAGACGCCGCGGGAATGGAATGGGAATGCTTCGCGGCGTCCGCCCCCTTGCGGTCCGCCATGCCCGGCGGCACTTCTGACAAATCCTCGTCCCTTGAACACGCGAATCAGCACAGGAAGCGAAGACGAAGTGGTACTACACATGTAGAGAGGGACAAAAGAAGAAGCTGCAGGTCGATGTACGTGATGTACGGGATATCGAAAGCGGTGGATACGTGGGGGGAAGTTTATGTAGGTCAATCTTTGAGAGAGTGGGAGACACCGGTATCAAATCAAGCGGGTGGCAGGAAGAGTGACGAGAAGGGGGAGGGATATTAATACATTATCTTATTAACAGCTTCCCAAGAAGAGGCTGATACGGCGATCTCAATCACAAGGGGGCACGTTCGGGAACGGCTAGACGTGCCATTAAGGTCGCATTCCCTGGGTGTAGTCTGCAGAGGGCGTCGATCGAGGGGAAGGGGGGCGTGGGCAATCGTGGTAGTTGATCAATTTGTTGATGGGGTTGAGAGAAACACGGCAGTGGATGACAGCCGTTCCAGCCCAATCTCTATCTCACACCCCTGTCGAGGGGCACGGGTGACCTCCGTGACGAGGGTAGGGGGGAAGAAAGGCCCCCAAGGCCCCCCAAGCTGATAGGTACCTTACTTTACCTTACCTGGTACCCCCGCCCACCTTGCCCGTGCATGAGATGCAGCAGCGTCCACTGTCCACTGGTCCAGTGCTTTCTCGCAATGCGAATGCAGTGGCCGAAGCGAGCCATAGAGGCCCGGGCCCCACCACGGGCCACGGCGATTCCAGCGGCATCCCCACGCTAGAATCCGGGGAACGACCCCTCCATCCACTCACGTCATTTTTTTGCTGTCATTGTTTCCGACACCGGTGTCTCTGCCGCATTTTGGCGGGGTTACTCGTCTGGAATAGCAACTTTTTTTTTTCTCGCACCACCGCAACTCCGTCTTCCGTGACTCATTAGAACCAGTCTCAGCCCTGCATAAATCTAATTGATCTGCCGTTCGATTCTCCGCCTCGATCATTTCTTGTGTCTGCCAATTGTTCGAGTTTCGCCTAGACTCAATTCTCCCAATTCCAATTGAAACCACCAGAGAAACCGCTCCGCCCAACATGCCCTCCCGCGCCGACATCACCTACTTCGGCGCCGGCCCCGCCCTGCTGCCCACCGACGTCCTCGAGACGGCTTCGCAAGCCCTCCTCGACTTCAACGGCACCGGTCTGGGCATCGCAGAGCATTCCCACCGCAGCGAGATCGCCACCAAGATCATCGAGGAGGCCAAGGCCGACCTGGCCACCTACCTCGACATCCCCTCAGACTACGAAGTCCTTTTCATGCAGGCCGGCGGCAGCGGCGAGTTCTCCGCTACCGTCTACAACTTTGTCGGCGCCTGGATCGCCCGCCAGCGCGACGCCGTGCTAGCCAAGCTCGGCGCCACCGATGAGAACGACGAAAAGGTCGTCGCCGAGCTTCGCAAGATTGTCGACGAGAAGCTCAAGCTCGACTACCTCGTCACCGGAGGCTGGAGTCAAAAGGCCAGCGCCGAGGCCGCGAGGCTGCTCGGCCCGGAATTCGTCAACGTCGCCGCCGACGCCCGTAAGATCAACGACGGCAAGTTTGGCAAGATCCCCGACCAGAAGGACTGGAAGCTCAGCAAGGACGCTGCCATGGTCTACTACTGCGACAACGAGACGGTCGACGGCGTCGAGTTCAACGGCTTCCCTGGTGCGCTGGCGCCCAAGGAGAACGGCGAGGGCCCCATTGTCGTGGCGGACATGTCGTCCAACATCCTCTCAAGGCGCATCCCCGTCAAGAACTTCAGCGCCATCTTCTTCGGCGCCCAGAAGAACCTCGGCTCGACCGGTATCACTGTCGTTGTCATCAAGAAGAGCCTTCTTGCCGCACAGCCCTCACCTGCGCTGATGCGCAAGCTCGGTCTCCCTATTGCCCCCATCGTTCTCTCATATGAGACCATTGCCAAGAACAACAGCTTGTATAACACATTGAGCATCTTTGAGTGAGTCATCCCCCCACGGCCGCTCACATTTCTATTATTTCGCTCTACTGACCATAGAATCGCAGCGTCTACATCGCCGGCCAAGTTCTCAAGAAACTTCTCCGCACCTTCGAAAACAAGGTTGACGGCCAGGAGGCCATCGCTGATGAGAAGGCCTCTCTTATCTACTCCGCCCTCGAGGCCCACTCCCACATCTACCGCATCGTCCCCGACAAGAGCGTCCGCTCGCGCATGAACATCTGCTTCCGTGTCACCAAGAACGGTGACACTGACGCCACGGAGAAGGCCTTCCTCAAGGAGTCCACCGCTCAGGGCCTCACCGGCCTTAAGGGCCACCGCAGCGTCGGCGGTATCCGTGCCAGCAACTACAACTCTATTTCTCTTGAGGGTGCTCAGAAGCTGGCCAAGTTCATCGAGTCTTTCGCCAAGGCTTAGTTGAGGGCTGTTCTGTGTGAGACTTTCTTTCAACACCGTCAATATAATGATACCATGTAAGAATATACATGAACCAAAAAAAAAGGGAGGAAACGGTACTGGGAAATGAAAATAAAGCATATAGGGAATATTTAGGGAGCCATGATTTAATTCAACATTGTTCTGCCAGGGTATGATGGCTTCACATTACACACGGTTTTCCCTCGGTGATATAATTGTGAGAGGCGGGAAGGCAAGCGTTACCTTGATGGGCAGTTGTGTGTGAATGGTTGAATGAATTCTAATTCCGCATATCGCCGCATTAGGTTGATGCTGCATCCAATAACACCATCCTAAAATGGTAGGTGGTCTGTACTACTCAATGTTATCTTATGGAAATGCTTATTTACAGTATTCAGGTCATCCAACTGAAGCTATAGCGAGTGTATAGTCTTTCACAGAAGACTCACGAAAGGCATCTCGCCAAGAGCTGAATAACATCAGAAAGCCTCGAGGTTAGGCGGCTAGCCCGGATAGCAAGACTACCGGATTGAATCCTATGCTATTAGATATCTATTACATTCCAGTACATCCAAATTCATCACTCTCTCACAAGTTAAAACTTCAAGGTGAAATAACCCTACTGCAATTAGGTAGTTGAGAAAGGGGAATGAGTCTTGTACATCGGCCCGGCGCGCCATCAGTGGCCCGTGCATACTGTCGGCAATATGTCCACCTCACGGCTCTTTGCCAACTCTTCCTTTACAAACTTATCTTTTGGCTTATACAAGAGCCGTATTCGGCCACCGGAATGACTCCGGTATCTTCATCCCGTAGGATCCGTCGCCGAAGAGTCGCCGACGAAGATCGGAAGCGGGCGTCCCGAGCCTGTACCCGTTGCAAGGCCCGCAAGAGCAAATGCATTGAGACGGCGTCGGGTATATGCCAACGATGTCTCCAGGGCTCACATACTTGTAGCTTTGTCACACAGCGATCTAGTACATCACCAGGAGTGTTACAGTCACCTACAAGAGACCTTGACGAATCATCCGCGGGCCTGGGTCCCAGCTCGAGCCCCGGCCCCCTTGCCGATGTCCCGGACAACATACAGACATCACGCCGGAATCTCTGCTCCGATAGTGACGCCCCTGAGAATTTCATGTGGCCACGCTTCCTGTCCAGACTGAGAACTGCATTCTATCTCGAGCCAAATTCATCACCCGCCGAGAGAGAGATTGCTGGACTTGAAGCTCGCTCGTCGCGAGCCACCGCCTCTCACCAGTCTGCGGAAGCCCTTCGCCTGCAAGCAGCCACCGAAAGCCTCCCGCCGAGGGCGGTGGCTATTTTCCTGAGCAAACTTTCTATCCAACATGGAACCGACTGTTTTTTCTACTTTGATCAGCCTTCTTTCTTGGCCGAGGTGGAAGAGTTCTACAACGACTTGAGCTCACCTCTCCGACGGGATCCCAGCTTCCTCTGCCTTTTGCTGTCAGTTCTTGCCCTTGGAGCTCATTGGAGTCCGCGAGCCCGCCCATCCGCTCTATCAAGGTCTCTTCCAGCTCCTCCGGATGATCCTGGACGGGTGTTTTGCGGCCATGCCCGGATCTTGATGGCGGACACCATGGACATAGTGAGTATGTACTCGGTCAAAGCGGCCTTCGTCCTCGGGATCTACCTCATGCCATCGAGTGCAGTAGGGGCCTCGTACCTGTACATGGGTCTCGCCTTGAGGAAAGCTCTTGCTCTTGGGCTGCATCATGAATCAGAAGAACCAGACATTGACAGCCATGAGAGGGAAATGAGACGAAGATTATGGTGGGCTATCTATTCTCTCGAAAGGTCAGTTGTCTCGCTAGCACACAATTCTCATCACGGGACTAAGCTAACGTTCTTTTGGTAGAACCCTAACAATCAAGCTTAACCGACCGAGATCGATATCTCAAGATGTCATCACAGCTCATCTGCCTCAGCGCCGAGCAACTGATGCATTGCAAAGCTTCGATAACTTGGACCACCAAGTAGCCAACGCGCGATTTGTAAAGATAATTGACACTCTCATTGAGCCGGCGTGAGTTTTAGTTTTGCCCATTGTCGGTTCTTCTCGCTGACTCGATATGGTTTAGTACGTGGTCAAGCAATTCGCAACCTCCTTTGCAAGACTTTGAAGTTTCACTAAAAGCCTGGAAGCGATCTCTGCCTCCTCTCCTACGTCTACCAAACGTGGAGCCTCGCTCTCCATACTACCGCGCCGTGTTTCACCTCTATCTGAACTACTATTTCGCCTGGATTGCTATAGGCAAAACGTCTGTAGTGTCGAAGATTCGGAGTCATTTACGGTCAGCTGCATCAAGTATACCGGAGCCTCAGTCAACCGAAGATGATGATGTAACCCGGCAATTTAGATCATGTGGCATCGCGGCAAAGAAGATGTTGAACATACTCGAAGACGCTAGCAACTCTGGAAACATGGCCCCAAGCTCCTTTACGGACTTTCAGGGTTGTAGCATCGCCACAATCATTGTGGTTCTGACCGGCATTCTGGAGCGAGACTCGGCGTACGAAGCACGAATCGCCTTTGGTCTGCGCTGTCTTCGTAGGATGGCTGACTTACACATGGCTGGTCGAATGGCAGTTCGCTTTATGGAAGCACTCATATCCATCGCCGAGGAGGCGCGAGCCAAGGTCAGGCCCTTTGGCCCGGCACAATTCGACGCGAGTGTCAATCAAGAGGCATCTGAATACCTTCTCTGGACAGACTGGCTGAACAGGACTGCGGAGACATCTGGAACGGAGAGAAATCGATCTAATACAGCCAGGCAATCGTCTCGTGCTCATTCAGAGACTGCACAGACTGTTGGAGACGCAAATGACCCATCGCCAATGTGGAAGGAAGCTGCTGCATTGCTCCAGCTTCGGAACCCATCTACACCCAACCGAACACTTGCGGTCGAAGATACTGCTCTGTCAACCTCTGCGGCTGGGCCACCAGAAGAGTCACCATTCGATCTGGGTCTGGATACTGATTTCCCTCCCACCACTTTCGCCGAGAACCACATGCAATTGATGGGTCTCACTGGTATGGACATGCTGGATTTTACATTTGACATTTAAGTAAGGTGTACAACGACAGCCCCATCAGCAGCCAAGGGAAAGATCTAGCCAGGATCTACGAGTGAGTAGCACAGACGCCACGATAGACGATATCAAGCCTCGTTCGAAGGATACAAGACAGTATCTGCGCCAACAAGGTCCTCCTTCATACTTCTCATGCTAGTAAAGCGCGTCAAAAGATTAATACTGGTAGCTTTGTCATTGGTACCGCTCGCACGACCGCCTCCAAACGGCTGGTGCCCGACAACAGCGCCGATGCTCTTGCTGTTGACATAGAAATTCCCAGCCGCGTGGCGCAACCCCTTTTCCGCCGTCTCGATGGCGCTTCGGTTGCGAGCAAAGACGGCGCCCGTTAATCCGTACTGCGTCGTGGAGTCGATGACGGGGAGCATCTCCTCGTACTTTGCGTCGGGGTAGACATGGACGGCGAGGATCGGGCCAAAGAGTTCGTTCTTCATGAGTTTGTGCTGGGGGTCGTTGGTCTGGAAGATGGTTGGTGAGACGAACCAGCCCTGGCTGTTGTCCGTATGACCACCGGCTAGCAACTCGATCGCAGTGTCTAGTTTGGCCTCCTCAATTACGTCGCGGAGTTTTTTCCACGAACGCTCGTGGATGACGGGTCCGATGAAGTTGTCGACCTGTTCAGGGGAACCAACTTTGAGGCCCTTTGTTTCCCGCAAGAGCATCTCCTTGAACTCTGGCCAGATGGACTCCGCGACATAAAGTCGCGACGTTGCAGAGCACTTTTGCCCCTGATATTCAAAAGCACCCCGGACAGTGTTCACCACCGCATTCCTTACATCGGCGCTGCGGTGCACCAGGTGGAAGTTCTTGCCGCCCGTCTCGCCGATCAAGCGCGGGTAGCTCTCATATCTTCCCGAGGTGACGCCGTCCCCGATCTTGCCGTACAGCTGGCGGAAGACGTCCGTAGATCCGGTGAAGTGGAGCGCTGCGAATTGGGGGTGGTCGAGGACGGCCGAGGTGATTGCTTCGGGCTCGCCGGGGAGGAACTGGATCACGTTGGCGGGCAGGCCGGCCTCTTCAAAGATCTTTTGGAGGAGGTAGCTCGAGTAGAGGGCGTAGTGGGAGGGTTTCCAGAGGACGACGTTGCCCATGATGGCGGGAGCGACGGTCAGGTTGGCGCCGATGGCGGTGAAGTTGAAGGGGCTGATTGCGTAGACGAAGCCCTCTAGCGGTCGATATTCTGTTTGGCTGGACAATGCCGTTAGTTCGTGCACGAGTTATCAAGCTTTCTCTCTTAGAAGCTCTGATTGAGAAGGAGAAACTTACTTCATGATGCCAGCGTCAGTCAATGTGTTCTGCTGGTTATACAGCTGAGCTGCATAATGAACATTGAAACTGCCATGGCCCGTCTACAGTAAGCGAAGCTTTCTTGAATGCTTAATACTCGATGCCTCTTTCTCGAGCGTACCGTAAAAAGTCGCAGCTCTCAGCCGCTGAGTCAATCTCCGCCTGCCAAATATTCTTCCCTTGCCCAAGCATCGTCGCAGCCATGATATCGTATCGGTACTTCCCTGCGATAAGCTCCGCCGCTCTGAGAAACACCGCAGCTCTGTCCTTAAAAGACGTATTCTCCCACGCGAGCTTGGCTTCTAGTGCCCTATCAATGGCCACGGATACGTGTTCGGGAGTTGTCTGGGCGTATTCGGCCAAGGCGACGGAGTGATCGCTGGGCAGGTATTGTTTGGCTAACAAGGACTTTGCATTTGTCTTTGGGGGTCATAGAACGTGTTAGCTCATGAGCAGAAAGCAGCAGAGGTACCTAGGTAGTACGAGTTAGGGGTGAAGATGCCACTTACGATTTCAGGTGCCAAGGAGGGGACTCGGATGGGAAGGCTGCTCTTTAGCCGGGAAATCGCGTCTTGGAGCTTTCGACGCTCGGCTGAGCCCTTGCTGTATGACGGCTTAGGGTTGTCGTGTTAGCTGCTGTCAACATGGCGTGGTTGCGTTTCACTGTGGAAAACTTACATTGGGCTCGTTGCGAACCGGAGGTGCCTTGAAAGTGCCAAACCCCCTGTTTCTCCTCTCGAGAGGCCGAGAGTTGGCTCTAAAGAGAATGGGTGACACTGTAAGTCGGTCTGCCTTTGGAAAAGGGGTCGAGAGACCGCGTACTAAAGAGACAGACATCGTAAGATGCCAGTAGCTTTCAGCTGGTTGAGGGAAAGAACTAAGGTTCGAATAAGATCAATGAGGAATTGCCCCCGAGAACTACATTTATATGTCTTGGGGGCTGCAATCCAGAGCTCCGGCATCGCGATGCCGTTGCCGATACTCGTGTCACATTGCCGTTGAGGTCGGCAATTTGGCCAAGCGTCAGTGCCGGCAGCCGGTCCGTTGACCGGAACGACACCCCACCGCTTCTTCTTATCTGGATGCATGCTACCAGCGGGGGAGTTCCATGCCCAAATGTATTTGCCCAATGTTGGTTCGCAATTTACTTCTAGCGTGAGTCTCTTTTTGTTTGAATTATCAAATCGATTGGGGTTTTCTAGTCTGGTCTCTTCATCAGGACCTTCAGTTACTGGCATGGGTACCACGGCCTTGGATTCCGTCAAGGACATAACCTCGGGAGCCGCAGGAGGTGTAGCACAGGTTTTGATAGGTATGCAACTCATCATTATGAGTCTTGTATGTTGTGATGAGAAAGAAATTGGCTAACACTACCCTACGCAGGCCAACCTTTTGGTAAGCCTGACGCTCTCCATTCCCCCAGTTTACGAAACAAAGCCTTTTTCAAACAACACAAGGCCGTGGAACAAATTAAATTACTTACCCAAGAATCGCAGACCTCGTAAAAGTGCGCCTTCAGACCCAAGGCGGAGGAAGTAATGCTCTAGGTCTAGTCCGTAGCATTTGGGCCAAAGAAGGGCCCTTGGCCTTTTACAAGGTCAGCTTTGACAGCTTCTAGTCCAGGAAATCGGAAGTTGACACTCACTACTATTCAGGGTACTCTTGCTCCGTTACTAGGTGTTGGCGCTTGTGTAAGTAATAAGCCCCATCTGAGAAACGAACCTTAGTCTGAACGTGTCCACCTTCGAATAGGTCAGTATTCAATTCGGCGCTTTCCAATTCTTCCGCCGCCGACTCGAAGAGTTTCGCGGGATAAGTCCTGCCGACTCGAAAGCAAGTAGCAAATCACTCTCCCTATCTGATTTCTACCTCATCGGAGGAGCCGCCGGCCTGACCAACAGCATCATCTCCGGACCGATCGAACACGTCCGCATCAGGCTCCAGACACAACCCAGCGGCGCTGCGCGCCTGTACTCTGGCCCCTGGGACTGCGTGCGCAAGATCGCCCAGCACTCCGGCATCAAGGGCCTGTACCGCGGGCAGAACGTCACACTTCTCAGGGAGTTCCACGGGTACGGCATCTGGTTTGCCGCGTATGAGGGGTTCCTGAGCATGGCGATGGCGCGGGAAGGCATCGAGTATAGACAAGATCTAGCTAGCTGGAAGATTGCGGTTTGTGGAGGCCTTGCGGGCGAGGCGCTGTGGCTTGGGAGTCACCCGCTTGACGTGATTAAGAGTAAAATGCAGAGTGATGGGTTTGGAGGAGAGCAGAAGTACTTGACTATGAGAGACGCTTTCCGTCAGACTTGGAGAGAAGGTCGGTTTCGAGGACTGTTTCGAGGACTTGTTCCGGCGCTGTTGAGGGCGATGCCCGTTTCTGCTGGGACTTTCGCAACGTAAGTGTTCTCACTCGGCTTCGTCGTTTTGAAATGGGTGTTATTATACACTATTGGGCAATGGCTAACACTCACTTGCAGGGCCGAACTTGTAAGGGGGGCTCTCGGTTGAGACTTCCCAACCTAGACATGATCCATGAGACGAAGAAACATCAAGTTCACAGATAATAGATTGCGACTTTTGTAATTTTTGGGTGATGGAAATCCTCAAAGGCTCTAAACACTGACGATTGTGCCAAAATTCCCGTACTAATCCGCTAACTTGTGAGACATTTTGTGTATACCCATATCTCATCTAACATGTGCTGTTCGACTTTGAACCATCTTCCCATGACGTCTCGATCCCCAGAAGTTAATTATCTCCTCGACTTAATCCACATGCGATTATCATCATAGAATGCACCCCACTTGCTGAGAGCTGTGTTCGACGAGAATACCGTCTGATCAAAATGGAAAGCGCTGCTGGCAACACAGTGCCCGAAATCGGCTACGGTGCACATTATGGTAAGACCTCACCCGACGAAGTCAAGAGGGGTTGGCGCATCTAGATGCAAGATAACGTAGTTGTTCAAATACACTTCATCTGCCATCTCTCCAGTGAAACTTCGAGTGGTTGACACAATACCATATCGAATCCGAAGAGCGAGCAATGTCTCCTTCGTATCCTAACAGCCAGCGACTCTTAGCCCTGCTGAGCCAACGAGTTTCAGTTCATCCCGCCCACAATGCATCTCTTACACGCCCACAGTATCGATACATGTCGACTGCCTCAAAGACGCCGCAAGCTCTGCCGCCACATTCCAAGTTACCCCTGAAGATTCTGTTACGGTCTCTGTTGGTGGCGACCATTTCTTGCCATCAGATCTTACTGGGCCCGTCTCTGGCCATTTTGAAATTCCTCAACGGCTCACACCGAAGCTGGATCTTTGGCGTGCAGAGAAACCCCCTACTGCACACTATACTAAAGAAGACCATGTACAACCACTTCTGCGCCGGCGAGAACCGACACGAGGTGGCGTCGACAATTGCCGAGATCAAGCGGATGGGTTTTCGGGGAGCCATCCTTACTTATGCTCGCGAAATTGTGGTCGACAACACGACAGAAGAGGAGAGCGGCCGGGGACTGAGGGCGGAAGATTCCGTTTCAGAAGCTGGATTCGATGCTGGGATCGACGCCTGGCGCGAGGGTGTCTTGGAAACGGCGGATATGCTCAGTGAAGGAGACGTCTTGGCCCTAAAGTTGGCGTCCCCGATACATCAACGTCAAATCCATTGTTTGCTAACTTGCTCCTCAGACTGACTGGTGCCGGTGCCGCCGTCTCAGAGGCGCTCACTTCGAGAAAGCCACTCCCGGCGCAGATGGAGTCAGCCCTCTCAGACGTTTGCTCTCGCGCAGTGGAACGCGGAGCACGCATTTTCATGGACGCTGAGCAAATATCAGTACAGCCTGGAATTGATACAGTAGCAATGGAACTCATGCGCTGCTTCAACACAACTGGAAGACGGGCCGTCGTCTTCAACACCTACCAAGCCTATCTGAAGAGCACGCCGGACACCCTGGCCCAGCACATGGCGCTAGCTCACAAAGACGAATTCGTCCTCGGCATCAAACTGGTCCGCGGAGCCTATATCAGCTCGGAGCCGCGACATCTGATCAACGATACCAAGGAAGCTACAGATGACTCTTATGACTCTATTGCACGAGGGCTATTATCACAAGTATATGGAGACTTTGGCATGCCGGTTGGGAAGTCTTTCCCGAGAGCCGAGTTATTCCTTGCAACGCACAACAAGAACAGTGTGTTGAAGGCCAACGCGCTGCAGCAAACTCGTGCCAAGGAAGGGAGGCCCTTGATCAAGATCCAGTATGGGCAACTTCTAGGCATGGCCGATGAAGTCAGCTTCAGTCTGCTCCAGCTCGCAGACCAGGGCCCCAACGCAAAGGACTCAGGAAGTGGTGCCCCTATAGAGGTCTACAAGTGCTTAAGCTGGGGCTCTCTTGGTGATTGCACGTCGTATCTCTTGCGGCGAGCGGTAGAGAACCGGGATGCTGTATCCCGCACAAAGTCGGAGTTTATTGCGTTGAAGAGAGAATTGTGGAGGAGACTTACGAGTTCTAATTGATCATAGTAGAGATGATAGAAATAAAAATCGCCATGTCATACTCCTGTTGTAAGGTAAACGAGGACCAACAAATTCCTTACTCTCTCCTATCATTTTTATGTCTTGCGTTACAACCGACCACAATGATATGTATTGATAGGCCGTGCTGTATAATTTCTGATCGACTAATAACCACAATGGCATGCCCGTGCACCACCGTCATGATATCGCATTGGCTCTCGATCGGGAGGATTCTCACTGCGCTGGCTTGGAAGAACGAAAAAGGTACTCACGATCAGATCAGTCAACGCGCGCCTCAGCCATGGTTCAAAACAACAAGTTGAACTGACGGAGCAGAAAGGAAGGCTTTGTAAATAAAGTAGTGGTCAGTGCTTCGACCAGGGATCTCATCCCCGGGTCTCTAGAGCTCTCATTACCCGTACTTTATCCGAGAGAATGACAGAATGGAACCGAAGCTCCCTCCAAACGAGGGGCTGAGGTACCTCTATTCACAGCCTGGAGGAGGTACCTCACCTGCCACCAAGCCCCACCATCCCAACTCCCAAAGCCACCGCGCAAGCTACAAAACGACATCGTCACACCTCACCAGAGCCCTCACATCCCACCATACCTCTTACCCCCGACCACCCCACCCCTTCTGAAAGTCTACACCTAGACAACACTTCCGACAGACTCCCCCAAAATGGCAGCCAAAGGAGACAAGATTGAAAAGATCATTACGCGGCTCCAAGCCCGCATCGGCGAAGGCCAGTTCTACGAGGCCCAGCAACAGACCCGCGTCGTCGCCGCCCGCTACATCAAGGCCGCGAACTGGCCCGCCGCCACCGATATCCTCTACAATGTCGCACAGTCCCTCCTAAAGGCCGAACAGGGCGGCAGCGGTGGCGATTTGGCCGTCATGCTTGTCGACGTCTTCAAGCAGGCCGAGCTCAAACCCGACGCCGCCAACAAGGGCAAACTGCTCACCCTCCTGCGCTTGTTTACTGCCCAGGAGCCGACGAGGAAGAAGTTTATCGGGGAGATTATTGCGTGAGTAAAAGGCATATGTTCTTTTTGTGTGCGCAATGTGCAGCGGAGGCAAAGCCGATCAGTCGTTTCTAACTACGGGCAATTCCCTCTGCTACAGATGGTCATCAAAGTTCGGCGAGTATCCCGCCGGCGACACCGACTTCCACCACGTCGCCGGATCCCTCTACGCCGAAGAACACGACGCCTACGAGGCGGAACGACACCTGGTGCTAGGAACAAAGGACTCGGCCGAAGTGCTCGCAAAGATGGAATACGTCTGGTACAAGGAGGACGACTCGCACACGGCGCCCCTCTACGCCGCCCGCGCCATCTTCCCCTATCTCCTCGTCGGCAATGTCCGCGCCGCAAACACCTGCTACCGCCTCTTCGCCTCCTCCCTCAGCGACGACAACAAGGGCCTCGGCGTCCAGGACGTCAGCAGCAACAGCGCCGACCTGCGCATCTTCCCCGGCCTGCCCCTCCTCAATTTCCTCGGCCTGCTTCTGCTGGCGATTCAGCGCGGCGCCCCGGACGCCTACAAGCAGCTCCTGGCAAAGTACTCGTCCAACATTTCCGAGGTCAGCGCGTGGAGCGAGGCGCTCGAGATCATTGCCGAAATGTACTTTGGCATCTCGCGCCCGAGGCAGAGCAATCCGCTCATGGACATGATGGGCAGCCTGTTTGGTGGTGCCGGTGGTGGTGGCGCCCCTCAGCAGAGACGCCCGGCGACGAGACGGGTGGAAGCCCCCGCGGCTGAGGGCTTGGATTAGATGATGTTGTTTTCCGTCGATTCGGCGCAGATGCCCGTCGTGCGTAAGAGCACGCTCGTAATGAACCAGACGTTGAAGAATATGTGTCAATAATGGTTGTGGAGGCAACAACCGGGATATCCAGTTGGAAATTGGCGAGGCATCGTGTTCAGAAGCCACGGGGCAACTCCGGTTCAGCTTCGTACATCCAATTGTCGTCAGCAAGAGCCGCGACCTTGGCTCGTAAACTGGCTTTGACGGCTTCGAGAAGCTCTACATCACACAGGAGCGGATCAGAATACCCCCTTTCCCTCCAGTGAAGAGCTGGACACAGAACTGTCTCGGGCAGGGGAGGACTTACCTTCAGGCTGTTCACGGACGGCGGTATGGTTGACCTGATGCTGCTTCACCGCCTCCGCGAGCCGCTGCCGCTCTTCTATAAAAAGCATAGTTAGCATTACACATAACAAACAATACCCCTTTCAATGAAATCAGGAAACCAAAAGAAAAATGAACATGAACGAGAAACAATGAAGAAAAAAAAAACCTACTCTTGCTCTCCTCCCGATCATCCATGGCAGCAGCCTCATCAGCCTCGTCAAACACCAGCGTCGGCAGCTCTCCAAGCTCAATCTCGCCGTGCTCGTCGCGCATCACAATCTCCACGGGCCCCATTGCCGACGGCGGCCCGCCGTCAGAGAGAACGTCGACGTCGAGGCGGAGTGTCTCGCCCGCGTGACCATTACCAGCTGTCGAAGAACCGCCGACGCCGTTGCCGGGTCCTCCTCCCCCAGTCCCCATCGTCGCACCAGCAGAGGCAGATACTGATGCCACGCCGCCCGCGCCGCCAGCTGTCGAAGGCATGGTCTGCCCCGTCGTGGTCGTGGTCGTCCCCGTCGCTCGCCTCGTGAGTCCCTGGAACAGATTGCGCCGGACCGCTCGTCGCGGCGCGCCGGGCGGTGGTACCACCGGTCTCGAAGCTCTGTCTGCCATCTTTTTCTCGTCAAGCCCCCCTCTCGGGCTTTTCTTTGCTTCTGTAACCGTTGTTCAAATGTGCTGTGTTTGGTGTTTCAAAGTCGGCTGATCTCCGTCTTTCTTCTTTTTGATACCTCCCTCTCCCGGTTTGCGGTTGTCAACGGGGGTGGGTAGCGTAGTACTACTGTACGACTCAAATCTCAATGCGTAAAATAAGACAAGGATGTTGGATGTTGATGTCTCCCAAATGGGTTGGATCGCGGATGTGTAGGTACGGGGCGTGAGGTTGCAATGCGCCGTCCACGTTGCAGGCCGCCCCTCTGTTTACATTTGGAGGTCGAGGTCGTCCAGGCACCGCACGCAATAAGGCAGTTATCGATAAGAGACAGTGCAAATAGCTCATGTGGCAGGCAAACACAGTGCCTACCTATTGCTGGAACAACCAACACACCACCGACCTCACTCACTTCATCGCTCACACGATCAAGGATCAAGGCGAATTGGCACAACTAAAATTGAATATCATGTACTTCATTGACAGCATTTTCGCGTAAACTTTTTATGTTACAGAACCATCCTAGCCTGGACATGCATGATTCCCATTATGTATCGTACATTAGAGAAAAAAACTCCCACAGCCGTGACGAAGCCTTCCAACCAATCGATACTCAGGTTTCCCAAATACACAGAGAAGAAGACACAGAAAGCCGGTAGAAAAGAAAACGCCGAGATATGCATAACCCGAACCAAACCCAGTCGTAACCGCTCAAGTCCCTTTTTTTGTTCGACATTGCCCCTTGCAAGTTTCAAATCAAACAAAAGACAAAAAGACGCAATAAATCGCAGAATGCTCATCCCACACATACCCATTCGGCAAAGACGCACCAACGAGCGGTGCGGTCCGCCAATACAAGTCCCCTCCACACCCCCTTCTCGGAACACTTGATGATAGTCTCCCACGTACCACCATCACTAAGATCCTCTTCAGCTCCTCTGCTGCCAACGCTGACTCCCCTGCGTTCCTCTTTCCGCATAAGACGGAGAATCTTGCCACCTGGAGTTTGAATCGCCAACTTTGCTGGCTTCTTTCCACCGGCGGCGGCTGAACTGAGGTTCGAGCCGCTGGCGCTGGAGGCGGTCATGCTCATTGCAGAGCTCGGCCGCATGAACGGGATTGGACTTGCGCCCCCAGGGTTCGATGATGGTGTCATCACCGAACCAGCCGCGCCCGCAGAGCTGGGGTGCTGCCGGATTGCGAAAACAAAAGTGTTGTTCAGAGCCAGGCGTTGGCATTGAGGTTGAACAACGTAGATATCGTGACGTTGCGCATGAGGCGTCGGGTGCCGCGTCACAAACTCATACGGAGGGTTCTCGCCCGTATGAATAATTGGTAGCGCAAATGCCACTGGATGAGGAATGTCCTTGATGCTATGCATCAGACCACGCTTGCCGGCATAGATCTTCAAGACTCCCTGGCCCTCATCACCGGGCAACAGAGCCTTGATGGTGTATCTTTTGGTGCCGTTGAACCACTCCGCTTGCGCCAAAGCTCTCTTCTTCACAACTTCGCCGCTCTCAAACACATCGCCATCGACATCCCTGGTGTAGCCGCGGACTTCGACCTCAGCAGCGATCTCGACATCAGGCGGAGCGTTGAACTTGACATGTACCATCTCTAGATCCTCGATACGAGTTGCCGCCGTGTTATAGTCGACCATCTCCAGTGTGTTCTTGAAAAACGGGGGGCAGGCGCAAGGTAAGTTGAGAAGAACTTCATGGGCCTGTGGCGGGCACATGTGTTGTTGAGTGTGGTGTTCAGGGATATGCGTCCAGCAGAGCTCTGTCGGCCGCGTAAGGAACCACCAAAAGTCGGCAGCGCTGTTGCTAGCGCTCGAGTATAAATGCCGCCTGGGATACGAAGGACTGGCCATGCAGCAATCAATCATCCGCCAGTCATTGTCGACCAGGACCGCATTCCACCAGTGGTTTGCGCGAGGCATGATATTGTGCTCTGGAATTTCACCGGGCGTCTTGAGATACCCGCGGATGACCTCACACTGAATGCCAACGGCAGAGCACATTTCGTACACTGTGACGGCATACTCTTCGGCACTCGCTCGCTTTGACTGCAGGACTCTTCGGGTGTCGACTTGACCTTCAAAGTCCTCTTCCCAAACCAGCTTTTCGGATACCCAGGTGAAGATTGCCCGCAGTCTCTGGACGTCGCTGCGGTATGGGCGACATACGTATGTTGTTGCTAAGCTCTGCGCTGTCGTCGTTGGTGGGAAGCTGGCCACGAACCTCGAATTCTTGTCCACCTGGGTGAGATTTAATGATTGATAGTCGATGGGGTCCTCCACAGGCAGACCGTCCGCTCCTTCATCGCCCTCCATGCCTTCGTACAACTCATCGACTGGGTTCAGTGCTGGGTAATCGAGCATTTGGCAGCGGTCTTTCCGCTCGTTCCTCTCGTTCTTACTCAAAGAGTTGGATCGATTGACGTCTCTGCGGACCTGAACCCAGTCCACTCCGTTCGCAAGACCCATTTCTCTGGCTGCTTCCCTACCGAAGCCAGTGCTACCCATGTTGGTCAAGTTAGAGACGCTAGCACCAGCTTGAGCGGCAACATTGGGCATGGAACGAGCAAAAGGCGACGATCTGGGTGAGTCGGCACCCATGGCAATACTACTGCGCCCGGATGCCACCCCAGTTTTGGCTGTGTCGAGGAGCTTCTTGAAGATGTTCCTCTTTGGGGGTTTCGGGGTGACGAGGCCTCCAAGACCTGCATCCTCATGAAAGCCAGCTTGTGATTTGGGCCGGGATACTTCCGAGGCGTGGCTGCTATGGTATGTGACACCGGTGAATGGGGTTTCCGGGCGCTCGATATCAGCGTCCCGCATGCCCAGGGCACTCTGCGCACGCTTTTGGGTCTTGCGAGCGAAACTGCCGGCGCTCGTTGCGCTAATAGCGCCGGCTGACGACCCACTCATCAAACTCCTGTCGCTGCTTTGCGTCGTCGAACTCTGATTGCCTGAGGAGGCGCTGGTAGAGTTGGTCTTCGTCGTAAACGTCCTGTTCAGGACGTTGCGGCCAATGTCGTAGGCCGACTTGCGCCCGCGAAGCTTCCTCTCCTCCGGTCCACCCATCGAAGACTTGGGTCTCTCGTATAACTGGCCTTTGGGGGGTGGCTTCGGTGCCTCATCCTCAAGGTCAGCCATACTTGCGCTATGTTGATGCATTTTTTTGAGACGACTTTCCATACGTTCGACGTAGTTACTCAGTTGAGGTAGCTGCTCTTTATCCTCCCGATGTCCGTTGTGATAGGACTGGTCTCGTGACGATCCGCCGCTCCAGGTTTCGTACCCTTCGTCCTGTTGTGCTATGCCCATAGATGTCTGTGGTCTTTGGTAAGTGTTCTTTCTCCTAGCGCGGTCATTAACCATGTCAAACGACTCGGGTGACCAGGGATCCAGTGGCGGTTCTGGTGTCGGATCTCGGGGCATCCCGAGGGCGTCCAGCTGCTCGATCACGCCGTCCATTGCTTCCCGCAAAGGCGACGGGGTCATGTGGCTTGCTGACGGCGAAGGTGGAGCTGGTGAGTGATGCCGTTGAGTCTGTATCGGTGACGGCCGATGGGCTTGGTATGAGAGATGCGAACCGTGCCTGTCCAAGGGTGGATGACGGTTATCGTATGAGGCACTCGAGTCTTGACGCACGATATCAAATCGTTTGTCAAACGAGTTACCAGACCCATGTCGACCAGCATGAAAGCGATTGTCATAGGAGCCATGCGAGTCCTGACGCGAGCTATCGTGCCTACTATCGTAGGATATGCTTTGCTTATGTCGCGAAGCCGCTACATGCCGGTGCGGAGGTGGGGCCGGGGGTGGAGGAGAATCCACCTTTTCTCGAGTGGGAGGACGGTAAGGCTTATAACTCACGGAAGGGGCCGGCGATGGACCTCTTGAGGAGCTGAAGTTGTGGGATGGCGGTATGGGAGACGGCCCCCTTTCCGTGTTGTAAGAGTTCTGTCTTGATCCGTGGCCGTGGCTTTGGCTGTGGCTGTGACCATGGCCGTAATCGGGGACGGGTGTCCTTTCTCTTGGAGGTACTGGCGTTCTCTCCCTTGGAACCGGTGTTCTTCCTCTTGGCACAGGTGTTCTTCCTCTCGGCATGTACTGCTGTTGCGCGCCATCGTTGAAGGAATTGCCCCGCGATACGTAACCGGCTGGGGCTGGCGACGTGTATGCTCGCATTCTAGTCGAGGCAGCATCATTGAAAGAGTTCTCTCTCGAAAGGAAGGCTTCCGGGGCCGGTGACCGATCTCTTCTGCTTTGCTCCGCCATTGCACTGTGAATCGACTCTCCAGAATGCCCTCTAGGCCTTGGGTTTGGGTTCGTGCGGTACACCTCGGGCTGTTTCGCAGCGGTATAGTGCGGTGCTTTGGAATAGGCCTCGAAGGGCTTTCGGAAAGTCCTTGACTTTTGAGGTGTGCTTGGGCTCGGTGTGTTCTCTGCTGGAAGAGGGCTGGCTGATCTCGTCGTTGGTCTAAAGTCGGCGGGGAGGACCTCAACGAAATTGGAGGGAAAGACTCCCACAGTCCTTCTGTCGCGCCATAGTCTACCCGTCCACCATGAGCCATCTCCAGCGTTGAGACATTCGATCAAGTCACCTTCGATGAAGCCGAGATCTCGTTTGGACTAGGGAAGTCAAGTCAGTATTTGGAAAGCCAGTCCCCTCAAGGACGCTCGAACAGCTACAACAAACCTCTCCGCCCCAAGAGTAGACTGCTCTGCACCAGCACGGAAACCGTGTCGGTAGAGACTGTGGTGCAGGCACCATATTGAAGAGTTGACAATTGCGCCCGCAATCGAAGGGACTGCTTGTTCGAGTGCGATTATCTGCGTGTTGATAACGAGTGCCTCAGTGGTTGTTTGGCGGAGCCTGGCACTCGGCTCATGCAGTCACAAGTTGATTCGACGCGATTGTGTAAGCTGCAATGAGGTATCGTGACGGCCATGCAAAGGCGTGCGCGCGCAAAGGCTGATGGCAAGGAATGATGACAAGATCGAGCTCCCGCAGCGAAGCGAGAGGCAAGCGAGAAAGGACTCTAGGCTCGTGGGAATTTTTTTGCAAGGCTCTGCGAGTTGTTGTTGAGGAATGCAGGTGAGGCTCGCGTGCACGGCGACAATGACCTTGTTTGAGTGGGTAAAGGTAGTTGGTAAATGCGTCCAGTGAGGTGGGCATGGGAGTTGACGTGTGGGAGATGGTCAATGTTGGCGGAACAAAGTACAAGTGGAAAGTCGATCTGTCGGACACGACTTCCAAGAAGGGGATGCGGTGAATGTCAGCGAAGCCGGGGGTGCGGACCCGGGGCAACCAACAAACAGAGGGGCTCGTTGGCGGGGGGATATCGGGAGTCTCCAGAGGGAGTCCTAAACACTGGCAATTGTAGTGAACGGATACCTACCAATGTGTGCAAGGTACCTGCGATCGGAGGGCAATCCAGGGCCTAGGCTTGGGTACCTACCTAAAGGTAAGTAAGGGCAAGCTTGTAACGGGTTGCGACCTCCTGTGCGGCTGGCGCATCTCCACCGGCGACTAGTGGGGACCCTCTCGGTGCCTCCTTGGCGCGGCGCTAAGCCTGGCATGGCACATCTGAGGCCCCTGGACCTTGGAGAAGTCTTGGAAATCTTCTGGTCACCGCCTGCGATGCCGAAAGCAATGACCATGAGTGACCAAGTATTTCGTGCTACGTACCTGGCCTACGGAGTACTGACCTTGACGTGGGCGAAGACCCCATCATCTTTCCCACTATTAACCTTCTCTTCAGCTTGCCTGATCCAAGTCGTGTTATCACCCGGCTGTCTACGGAGTATTACGTCGCAGATACACAGATGCGCGAGGTGGAGTAAGGTATCGAGGTAGATTCTCCCTTGCAGTACGTATTACTCGACGAGATACGACTATCCGTGTAAGCCTGCAGGCACAGGTTTTGGGTAGCACATTGTCTCTGCCAGCTTGCAATAGTCGGTAAAATAGGCTTGTCTCCGAGCAGCAAACTTGGAAGGACCTGGAAGGCAAACCTGAGATGACAACGCCAAAAAAAAAAAAAAAAAAATGAAAAAAAGAGGCGAGAATGCGGCGTTGGTGAGGATGTTCTCTGTAGGAAAAGCAGGGGCACTCGTGGGCACATTGTTTTAGTGCGATGAACAACGCAGCGCCGTCTCATGGGGAGGCCCTGCATACCTTAGCACCGCACACCACAAAGTCACCACCAGATTTGTCTGCCGCCCACTTACTTCCCGTTGGCAACCGGAAATCTGCAAGGCAACGCAGCTAACGTTCGCCGCGTCGAATAAGGTCGCAGGAAACTCCAAGGCAAGACAGACTGATGGGCGACAAGAAAGTCTTCAAGCCGGATCAAGGTCAAAATCAAGGTCACGCTCGCATCCTTCATCACTCTGGCATGCAAACGACGCAAGCACTCACACGACAGCTATCAGTGAGCACACCTCTCTCTAATCACTTAGCACACTTTGCATTCTCGCCCGTCCTGCGGATCCGTCTTTTCCTCTGTCTCTCTCTCCTGCATATCAAGCACTAAACCGCCAACCACTCCCACATCCTAATCCTCTCCTCCGCTTTCTTTCTTGTTCGCGATTCTCACGATGCTTCAGAAACAACGGCTCTCGACCGATCTCTTCTCGCTTGCTTTTTTTGTCGCAAGATCGGCTGACTCGCCCCGGTTCATAGTACATTACAAAGTACCCCCCCCTGGTGCCAAATTGCGGTTCCCCGGAGCTCCCCCAGCTATACCAAAACGGAAGAAAGTAAACAAAGGGCCCGAGCTTTGCGACGAAGCACCGTCCAAGTTCCCAGCGTCCAACTCCCGTCGACCACGGCACCACGGCCAAAGTGGCAAGGGAAAAGACCACTTTCATCTTTGACCAGGCCCTGGACTGCCGCTCGACAACCGAACAAGCGAACAAGCCCGCCCGCTACCGCCGCTGTCCCAAGCAACCAGACTGCTGTCGATCCGCTTGCTTTATTAAATCCAATTGCTTTTGGTCCGCCCTAAATACACAAGCCAGGCCGTCCTGACTGACACACGACAGCCCGTTCCCTGGATACCCATTTCTTCTCTCGAAACTCTCTCCTAGCATCCTGTCGCTTCGCCCGCGCAACTCTCTCCTCGAAATCCCTCGGTCCAGGACTCCCGGGTCGACCGTCGCCAGCTCCTCCCTCCCTCCCCCTCCATCTTTGCTGCAAGGAATTCTGTTGAGCGAACAAAACGATTCAATGACGTCCAAATCGGCCGCGATGGCCGACGAGGGTGTCGCCGAACACTATCAGGTTCTGGAGGAGCTCGGTCGTAAGTCTTGCCATTATCTACGTCCTTTTGGGAGCAATTGCGCTGACGGTAAATCCAGGTGGAAGTTTCGGTGTCGTTTACAAGGCCATTGAAAAGGCCACTGGCGAAACTGTCGCCATCAAACATGTAAGTCGACGCATCGCATGTTCGACTTGGTGTCCTACAGACAAACTAACAAAGACCTGCGCAGATCGACCTCGAGTCAAGCGAAGATGACATTCAAGAGATCCAAGGCGAAATTGCTGTGCTGAGCACATGCGCGAGCTCCTTCGTCACGCAGTACAAAGGCAGTTTCCTGCGCGGCCACAAGCTCTGGATCGTCATGGAGTATCTTGGTGGTGGTTCATGTCTTGACTTGGTATGTCACTTGGCGCAATACCTTTGCCGCAGTTCGGCTAGCTAACATTCCTCAGCTCAAACCTGCCAACTTTGCCGAGGTCCACATCGCCATCATCTGTCGTGAGCTTCTTCGCGGTCTCGAATACCTCCACGCCGAGGGTAAGATTCACCGAGATATCAAGGCCGCCAACGTGCTCTTGTCCGAGGCAGGAAAGGTCAAGCTGGCCGATTTCGGCGTCGCCGCTCAATTGACCAACATCAAATCCCAAAGGAACACCTTTGTCGGCACTCCTTTCTGGATGGCCCCCGAAGTCATTCAACAGGATGGCTATGGTTTCAAGGCAGATATCTGGTCACTTGGAATTACTGCCATGGAGATGGCCAATGGCGAACCTCCTCTGGCGCATATCCATCCGATGAAGGTTTTGTTCCATATCCCAAAGAACTCTCCTCCTCGACTCGAGAACAACTTCAGCAAAGACTTCAGGGATTTCGTTGCACAGTGCTTGGTCAAAGACTCTGACCGCAGACCCTCGGCCAAGGATCTGCTCCGTCACCGATTCATTAGATCGGCTGGCAAGGTTGAGGCTCTCCAGGAGCTGATTGCACGCAAGCAGATGTGGGATGCGAACCAGAATCGGAGGTCCCACCCTACCTTTTACCAAGAAACCCTGCATACCATGTCTTCTAGGGACGACACGGATGAATGGGTGTTCGACACAGTCAAGTCAGTGGCGCCCAAGCGACCGAATGGTCATGCACGGAAGCCCTCCTACTTTGCGGCAGAAGAGGCCATGCGCCGGCTCGACCCCAAGGACGCGCCGCTCGGCCCCTCCTCTCCCGCTCCCGGGACAGTTCGCCGGTCTACTGTGCGTCGCCAGCCCTCGAGCCGCCAGAGTTCCGGCACACAGATCCAAACAAACGGCTCACCTCGCTCGACAGTCGCCAGGCGGCCTTTACAACCAGACATGTCGTACGGCAACTCTGGGTCCTCTGTGCGGCTCTTCCGCCGGGTGCCATCGGATGGCTCTGTCACCGCTTGGGAGGACACTTCGCCTGAGGGTACCATGGGCAATGAGAACAAAGCGCCGATGCGAGCAGCCGCCATCGATACTAATAGCAAGGAGGCACTACTCGGGCGACGACTATTTAACAGGGTCCTGGACCCTACCCTCGCTGAGCTTCATGCGCAGACGTCAGGCATGCAGAGGCGGGAGGCGCTCGCAAAGCTTACAGATGCGTTTGCACTTCTGGACTCTGTTGATCCTGAGGGTGCCTACCATCTCATGCAAAACATGATGACGGCTGTCTCCCAGGATCCCAAGCTGAACCAGGCCTTGATGCCCCAGCAATCGATCAAAATCCCATCAGATGGCACACCCCAAGGAACGGTCATCATCAGGAGCGCCGCTCCCACGCCGTCAAGCAGCCCGACCAAGTTGATGATGGCACCAAACAACCCGCACCTAAAGAGTCATAGGAGACGCAACGGGTCGATTGCGACACCAGAGTCTGCCGAGAAGGAACGCAGCGAGAAGACGGCCGTGGAAGCCAAGTATCCCGGCCGCCCTCCCAGGCCCGGCATGGAGCACTGCAAGCAGCTATCGGACGTGCTCTACGGCCGATGGACGGAGGGCTTGAGAATCAGATGGCCAGCGGTCTAGCTTTGACCTCCTTTGACTGTCATCTGAAGGATATGAGGGGAAAAGATTGGCACAACATTATTATTCACGAGAAACATGCTGTATGATGAGAAGTGTATGAACACGTCGCAGCATACTGGGTTGGACAGTACACACAAAAAGCATTGGGAGAGAGTTTTCAATTCAGTTTTTGGCAGATTGAAGAGTTACCATCGGGGGTTAGGATTTTTTGCTTTTTTTTTTCTTTTCGCAATGAAGAAGCTGACGATGGGGGTTGACTTTTTTCCGGCGATGATGTTTATTCACTTTCACGACGGGATAAGTATCTTTCACACGGCCGATTCGGGTTCTTGTTTGCAGCTCTGCTTCGCATTCGGTTTGGCGTTTTTCTGGTCTTTCGTTTGGTAGTAGTTTAGATACCTCCTAGGTAGCGTCAAGATTGCGTTTTTTTAACAATGGAAAGGGATTTGTTGCACTACATTCAAGGTTCCCGTTGCGTGAAAAACTTTGTGTACACGTATGTTAATATCATAATGTGATGTCTATATTAGCCAAACAGCAGTATTCTATGGCTCCTCCAGTGGGACATTCTTCATGGAGAGCTTTATTCTCCAGTTGATGAAGTCGTCTGTCAAGAGCTCCCCGTGCCCGGCCTCGTCGACTTTGAAAACCTCAATGGTAGGCTCGCCTGCCCGCCTACGTATCCTCCACACGCCGTCGTCGTTGATTGTCTGCCGGAGCCCTGCGGTTGGAGTAAGTGGCAGCCCTTTGCATACTCAGATAGCTAATATAGCAAAGTAATCCCGGCAGGCAACCCAATAGGAAACCCAACAGGAAGGGGTCAAGAGGACCATGGGAAAAGGCAAGAGACTAAAACGAAAAGGGGCACTCACAAACGAGAAACTCGGCGGCAAAATTAACGCACATATCGCCGTTCCATGTCGCTTTCCCGCGGCGCTGCACGGTGTCGGGGATCTTTTCCGTCTCAATCTCCTCGACATCGGTGAGGATGCCGTGGCGGTTGCGGAAGCCGACGATGATCTTGGGGACGCCGAGGAGGAAGGACTGGATCCAGAACTTCATGAGCTTGCGGTGGAAGTTGTCGACGTCGCGGTCGTCGCGGAGGGCGAGGCTGGTCTTGAGCTCGACCCAGTTTGTAGGAGCGCCTTGTTTTTGGGGTTTCGAGTCCCAGACTTTGGAGTGGAAGCGAATTGTTAATATCTCACTCCTTCTCTTTGAGAATAGGGGGTAGGTGGATACACGGTGTGAATTTGAGAAGGGGGTCAACGTACCGGCGTCGACTTCGCCACCTATGCAGATTACGGTTTGTCCTATGCCTGTTCTGACTACGGAGCAGTACTGGGCGTTGTTGTTGACGACTTCGACGTCTCTGTTCTCGATGTATTCCCTGGGCGTCTCGCCCCAGGTGTCGGGGAGCGTGGCCAGCGTCTCGAACTTGTATCCTGATCTCCTATCAGCATGTTTGATTGCCCTAGCAGAGAAGAAGAGGGCTCTGGTGTATACGTACCCCAGAATTGCATCACTTCGGGCGGGATCGGTCCACGTCTCTGCTGTGCGTTCTGCTGCTTCTGAGAGGCCACTTTGTACTCGTGATTCTCTTCAATGTATCTAGCCATTTGTCAGTCTGATTAGAAAGAGTTGGTCGTCACGTCGTTTGCTGTCTTGCCGTACATGCAATCCTGAGTTTTTCTGGGTCAGCTCAGTCGTTGGTTGTGAAAGTTATAGGAGTTTGTTCATGCGCACTTGGTATAGCGTTGCGTTCATTTCAAAGCTGACTGTGCTGTCAGTTCCAGTTCCGGGCAGCTGTGCAGTTCTGTGACAATGGCTGCGAGACTAACCCGTCACGATCTTCAAAGGGCGATGCCATGATCTGTTTTCTTGGTCAGTTGGGATTGAGAGAGGCAAACGCGGAAAAGTGGCCATACCTTGGTCATCATGCCACGCCATGTCACGATTTGGGCGTCAATCTTCTGCCCCGTCTCCTCCTCATGAGCTTTGATGGTCTTTAGTAGGGCTCCGAGGTGCTCGGGCTTAGAGTCGTCGTGCTTGATGAAGGTATCGTAGCCTTTGGACAAGTCGGCGCCGAGGGTTGGTGGGTAGTAGTATCTCAATGAGGAATCGCCTAGATGGAATTCATGGTTATCGTCATATGAGAAGCAAGCAAACTCCTGGCCTGTGTTAGTACGAAGATGTAAATTGTTTTCATGAATTCATGAGAGTCATGCTGATGAGATGTCCACCGCAACAAGAAAGACCGATGCCTACCTTTGGTCGTTTGACTGGCTGGCTCGTGGCATAGAAACGCCCAATAGGCTGGATGGGAAATTGTTCCGACATGACGGCGTTTGATGTAGAGTAGCGCTTCGTTCCGGAGTTCAAAAGGCGACGTGTTGTCCCAAGGGACATCTCGTTGTCGAAGAGACGGGATGATCAACGGAATCGGTCGGCAGCCCCGGTCTCAAGCTTCGGTGTCGGGAGTTGAGAAAGGAGCGTCTGCGGCGCAACGGCGCGTCGAGACGGCAGGGCGGGTCAATTGGCATGGAGCCCGCCGTCCGGGGTCGGTGGAGAATGGAATCGACGTCGACCGCTGAAGCGAACCACTGAGAGCCCTGGGTGACATCCAAACATCGCTGAAACATGCATGCGGACGGCTGGGCTAGAGCCATCCGACACCCCTAGCTGCAGCGGGACGCCAGCACCTTGACGACCCAGCTCCGCCCACTCCAACCACGAATACAACTTCGATATCTAGGCATCCTCATCCCCTTCGCCCGACCACGACTGACTGACAGCACGATTAACTCGATAGCAAGCGGCAAATTGCTTCTTCAAACCGATCACCACTCCCCGCCACACTTGCCGGCCTTCACTCCCTAAAGACCCCTCATTCGCGATGCGATTCCCCTCCCTACCGACCTAAATCGCTACACATACCTGCTCCCTCACCATGTCCAATCGGTACGGCGGCGGCGGCGGCTACCGCAACGGCAACGGATATGGAAACTTTGGCAGGCGCGAAGAGGACTACGATCCATACGGCGATGGGTATTCAGGCAGCGACAGAGGAGGCGGAGGCGGCGACCGATACGCCGTGGGATCCCCGCCAGCGATGAACCCCCGATCGCCACCCACACTTCGAAGCGGCGGCCCGCCGCCAATCCGCAGCCGCGAGCGCATCCAGGAGACGAACGCGGAACGACAGATTGGCCAGGTCCTCGAGCGCGTCAAGGTGGAGTGGCCGGCAATGTGCCAGACCGACTGTGTGCCCGTCCAGCTCGCCCTCCAGCTCCTCGACACCAGCTCCGTAGGCCGCGCGCACGACTACAACCAGTTCCGACAGACGCACGACTACCTACAAAACTCCCTCAAGGGCATCGTCCATGAGCACCACCAGGGCTTCAATAGTTCGATCGGAACGTTCCATAAGATCCAAGGCAGCATCCAGGCCTCGCAGAAGAGGGTGCGCACGCTCAAGGACTCCCTGCTGACGTCCAAGGTGAGCCTCTGCACGTCGGACCCGGACCTCAAGAAGCTCTCGGCCACATCGCAGGCTTACGATGAGCTACTCACCACGCTTAACGAGCTGGAGGAGCTGCGTCTGGTGCCGGATCAGCTGGAAGCCCGCATTTCCGAGAAGCGCTTCCTGAGCGCAGTCGAGGTATTGCAGAATGCCCTGCGCAAGCTGCGGAAACCAGAGTTGGATGATATCGGTGCGCTCAGTGATTTGAGGGGTTACCTTGCCAACCAGGACACAGCACTCATGGATATCTTGGTTGAGGAGCTTCATGAGCACCTGTACCTCAAGTCGCCGTACTGTCAAGAGCGGTGGCAGAATCTCGCCAAAACCCAAGGCGCTCTCAAGGAGGGCAATCACGAATCGATCACCATCGCTCCTTTCCACCAAGTCCTGGATGCCATGGACTTCGAAGCATCGGCGACAGAGGACCCGGCTAAAAACCCGGAGGCCGACACCTTCTCATACGTGTCTTTGCTTGTGGAGTCCCTCAACAAGTTGGGAAGATTAGAAATGGCCGTCGACACCCTCAAGCAGAGACTGCCTGTCGAGCTGTTTACCATTGTAAATGAGACACTTAACGAGGTTGATCAACGGCATCCCAGCTCATTACGTGGCGGCTCCACCAACTCTCAAGGGCTGCACATTTACGGCAGCCGAGAAACCCAAATGAGAGCAGACGTCATTTATGACTTGTTGTGGACGCTGTTTGGCAAGTTTGAAGCTATCGCAGAGGGTCACCGTGTCTTCCACGAGGCAATCAAGGCCCTCATCCGACGCGAAGGTGCTGGAAACAACAGCGCCCTGCTGGGGAGCTTCAAGGAACTCTGGAACCTCTACCAAAACGAAATTCGTTCTTTGCTGCACAACTACGTCACCACGGATGCGGATGTATACCAGTTCAGTACATCGCCAAAGCCTGGGGCCAACGTCAACGGTAAAAAGGACGCTGCTAGAGAGCACCTGTTCAAGTTTTCTGAGGGCGACCCCAAGGCTGTGGACATGACGACAGAATACGAGGCCCTCGAGAGCATCATTCGATCTGCTGTTCCCGGCTTGACCGACACTTCTCGAAAAGCCGGAGCTGACAAGAAGCGGCCAGTCGAGGGCAGTACCAAGAGAGGAGGAGGAGCCACAGGTTGGGAGAACAAGCAGACAACTGGTACATACAAGTCTCTGGTCGAGCCCAGCGTCTTTAACATGAGCTTGCTCCTCCCTCCTACCCTTGTCTTCCTCCAGCGTCTCAAGATGATTGTACCACCGGGCTCAGATCTTGCCACCAGCACACTGACGTCCTTCTTGGATAACTTCCTGGTCAACGTCTTCCAGCCTCAGCTGGATGAGACCCTCGGCAAGCTGAGTGACACCATCTTTGGCGAAGCTGATACATTCTTGCAAGACCAGGAATGGACTCAGGTTGCTAGACGGCCCGTCTTCAAGGGCACAACAGCTTTCTTTGCCATTGTCACAGCTTTCTGCCGCATGCTGGGCACCATCCCACACGATCAGGCTCTGAGCACACTCATCATCACCCAGATGATGAGATACTACGACCGTGCTTTTGGATGGTACAAGTCACTTGTGAGCAAAACTCAGGCGCAAGCAGACAAGCCCACAAAGCTACGCATGTCGGCAGCAATGGCTTTGGAAGAGGGAGATGTCCAAGAAACCATAAAGCAACTGTGGACCTCGGATACACTGGAGCGCGAACTTCTCGAGAAGGAAGTCGGTCTGCTCATTGTTCAGACCAATGAGAAGCGCATGGAGATGGCCGACATCATCCAGGACAAGGACACCATTTCGTCTCTTTGTCTCTTATACACTAGTATGAAGTGGCTCGCAGTCAAGATCTCAGGTTTGCGTCACATTACTCGCAACGAATCCGACTCTTCCCGCCCAAACATAAACCGAGGCTCAAGCAAGCGGTGGACGCTCATGAATGACCCCAACAAGGCCACAAACGAGGATGGACCTGTGTGTCTTCCCATGACACAGGAGACAGTCCAGTAAGTTATCTCCTGTTCTCGGAGCCCTTATACCATATTTACCTTACTAACATAAATATCAGGGCTTTCGATGGAATCGTCTCGTCGTTCGAAGAACTCGCCGGTACCGCGCTCTTGACCCTCCACATGGAGATCCGATGCGAAATCATTTACTCCCTCCGCACCGCCCTTTCCACCGACACAGCTCCCTATCTCCTCGACCAAGAAGTCACGGAGCCAGATCTGCAAATTATCAACCTCAACTCGGACCTGGTCCTTTACGATGAGACCATTGCGCGATACCTCCGCGCCAAGGAGACGGCCTTCATCCGCACTGGTCTCGGCCTGCTGATCAACGATTACCTCGTCACCAACGCCGCCTTCGTCTCGCCCATGAACGCAAAGGGGTGCGGTCGTATGCAGCTCAACATCTTGGTCCTGCAGCAGAACCTCAAAAACGTGGAGGAGGGCGTCGACCTCGCGCGCGCGTCAAACTACTTTGCCCTCTTTGACAAGGGGCCCGACGCCATTGTTGAAAAGGCCAGCGAAGATAAGGACAAGGACGAGCACGCGGACCCATCCGACACGTTTAGCTACGAGGAGCTGAGGACGCTGCTGGAGCTGTGTTTTAGCGAGCAGCTTTCGAACCCCGAGCGGGGGATCGCGAGCGCCGCCAAGAGGCAGATGGCGGATAAGATGCTTGGGCTTAGTGAGCACATGTGGCAGACTTAGAAGCACCGAGATCCTTGAGAGAAGAGAGAATCGTTTAGTTTTTACATGGCTGATGATGTGTAGATGATCCCAGCGTGGTTTGCTGTGGACTTTGCGAGGCGTTCAGGAGAGGGAAAGAAGGCAGAGAGAGAAGAGTGTTGCTGCCATCATCTAGACTCGACCCCTCCTCGTGGTTTGAGTCCCCCACAAGACTACGACTTGTAAACAAGAGATGTCACTACCTACCATCCCGGTATTTGGGAGGGGTGGCATCCTACAAGTCTTGGTCAAATTTTGGGGGGGTATTATTCTTGTAGTCTATAGCTTTTTCAATGCCAGCAAACTTTTCCTAACCACATGTACACGAAATACACATACGCACAGATTTCATGAATTTTCCACATCCTCTCTCTCTCTCTCTCTCTCTTTCTCTTTCTCTTTCGTAATCCAGCACATCCCACAACCCATACTCAGAAACTCACAAACCACAGCACCACCCATCCTCTCACGAGGAAGCGACGAGATCTCTCCCCCTGTTGATCTGCACCTTCTTGTCCTCGCCACCGCTGACCAGACCCCACGTCTGATCCCACGCGAGGCCAAACACCTTGACGCCCTCGCCGCCCGCGGGCGCCTTCTTGGCCTTGAGCCACTCCCGCCCGACAGAGTAGACGGCCTCGCTGACGCTGCCGCCGCCCTCGTCCTTAGTCGCGGGCCGCACGCTCCGCAGGTCCCAGATCTTGACGGTGCCGTCATGCGACGCCGACGCGAGACTGTAGTCGTTGTCCGGGGAGGGCGCGAGCGCCGAGACCATGTTGGCGTGGCCACGGAGGGTGAGGACCGAGGTGGCCGAGGCCGAGGCGCGGGGGTCGAGGAGGGTGACGTGGCGGGCGGAGGAGCCGGCGGCCACGAGGGAGGAGTTGCGCGGCATGGGCGCGAGGCAGAGGAGCGGGTGGAGGGTGGTGAGGGTGGAGACGACGCTGGCGGTGGTGAGGTCGAGGGTGCGGAGGGTGTGGTCCGCTGAGACGGAGTAGGCGACGGTGGCGTCGGTGGGGTGGAAGGCCGCGCCCGTGACGGAGGTGTCGGCGTGGGCGTGGATCATGGCGAGGGCGCCCTTTTGCGGGACGGTGATGGACGAGTTTGAGAGCTTGGCGCGCTTGACGCTGCTGGCGTGCGTGGCGGGAATGTCGTCGGCGTCGACGTCCGGGCTGCCCTTTTTCGAGGCGAGCCAGAGGCCGACGCGGCCGTCGGCGGAGGCGGTGAGCATCTTCTTGGAGGCACCGTGGACGGCGAGCGAGTTGATCATCTTCTTGTGGCCGTGGAGCTCGAGCGTGGGCTTGAGCTCGCCCGAGAAGCGGTCGGCCGACTCGGCGTACTTCCACACGACGATCTTCTGGTCCAGGCCAACGGAAGCGATCTGCGTCGACGAGAGGAATTTGGCGTCCGTCAGGAGCTTGGTGTGGCCGCCGGCGCGGGCCGAGGGAGAGGTCGCGAGGCACTGGCCAGAGCCGTCCCAGATGCGAACGAGGCCGTCGTAGCCGGCGGAGAGGATGCGGTCGGGGCCGTGAGCGAGGGCGTCGCCGGACCAGCGGTCCGCGGCCGAGGTGGCAGAGAGGACGTCGACGGCGGCGACCCAGTCGTCGTGCTCAAAGGATGCCTCGTAGACGGGGGGCAGCAGACTGCGGACGTACTGCAGAGTGAGCGTCGTCTCGAAGGAGAGACCATTCTCCTTGAGGTATTCTTCGATCGTGGTCCGTAGGTAGGTTCCGTTGACGAGGAAGTCGAGGGGCACGGGGGAGGAGGTGTTGAGCATGGACTCGGAGTTCAATATCCTTGAGAGGCCATATCGCTTGATGTCTGGAGACGAGTTGCATGCAGTTAGATTTTGTAGGAAGCCATTGGGTTGAGAGATTCGATCGCGTGCGTACCTGCAGGAACAATCAACTGCCTCTTGCTCTCGTTCAACTGCAGGTCTTCATGCGTTGTCGTGAAGTTCACCTTCACCTGGGCCACTGAGGACTCCATTGCGACGAGGAACTGAAGTCTTTTCTTCTTCTTGTTTTTCGCGATTGACTCGAAGCTTCCGTGCAAGTATAGAAATCGGACCTCAAGTTCGCAGGTATCTGGTGTTTGACTTCTTTGTTCCCTGTGAAAAGGTCACTTCTTCCTCAAGTGGTTTCGATTGGTTTGCCGTGTTGAAGTTCGCTGGTTCAGAGGTGCGACTAGACGGGGCACTTCCAATTTTTTTTTTCGAAGCTTGCTGTCAGCCTTGCAGGAAACTTCCACCCCGCTGAGTCAAGCCTGTCCAATCATGATTCCAGCGCAAAAAAGGGACCGACGCTAGGGTCTCCAGGCTGAACACTGCCCCGCATCCGCTGACTTCCGAGCACCAGGGGGTGATGATACTGGCTGCTAAATATATACCACTGCAAACGACCGACTCATTCGCAGGCTTACCCGCCGTCGTCTTCAAACCCAAGGGGGCAAATCATGACATTGATGGATTTTTCCGCTGCTTGAATCATCCATTCGGCTACTCAAATCACATTGTGCACTGGATTAGGAAAACCTGAATCTGTTTTGAGCTACCTTGTCGAGATCGGACACCTTGATCTCTTGTCTACCAGGGCTTTCGCCTGGTCCATTGCCAACCCATGAACCATTTTTAAGTAATCATACATACTGAAGGCACGCTGCCTGGAAAGCGAAGGACGACACCCACCATATCAGCATCAGTCGGGCAGGTTTAGACGGCGTTGTCGGAAGCAGCTTGCTCCTTGCTCGCCTCCAAGATAAAGGCCTCCTCAATGGCGGACCTTCGGCGGAACACCCTCAACCATCGCTCACCCCAACGGCGAAGCAGGGCATCACGTTGACCGGCTCCGTCCACCTCCTCCATCATCTCGTCTTTGCTGCCTGAAGCCCAGCTAACCAGCGCATCCTCCATCGCTTTGAAAAGATCGCGCATCGCCTTGGTCTCTCTCTCCTTCGCATCCTCATCAGCCTCTGCCTCCTTGGTCAGAAGCTGTCTGACGCGGCCAGTCACCTTGGACACGGTACCAAACACCAGCTCGAAGACGTGAGGCTGCCCCAAAGAATCGCCCGAAGATTGTCCCTGAACGTGGCTGCCTCCCGAGAGAGCCCACTCAATGACCGTGATGGGCAAAAGGATTGAGTAGTTCAAAAGCTTCTCGACGATGGAGATTGCAACACCGGGCTGTGCCGCCCAGTATGACATGACTGCGGTGATGATTTGGGACTTAGCCGCCTCAGATGCCGCGCCAACGTCGAGCAGACGATCCTTGGTGCGCTCGATACACGCGAGCACGTGGCTAAGCGACTTCGACCCGACCCAGCACACAGCTGTGACGAAGACATCGGTACTTGTCACCAAAGGATCCATACTGCGTTCTATCGCAAGTGAGTGAATCCGTTCGATAATCGGCTGGAACTCTTCGTCAGGTGCTTTGCGTCTGAGCAACGCAGCGATCTCGCGTCCCTCTGCAGAGAACGGCGTGCCTGTCGTACCTGTCAGCCTACTGAACTTTTCTCAATCGCAGCTTATCACTTACTCTCATCACTGAACTTGAAGTCCGGAACATCCTTTTCCTTCTCGGGCCCAATCAGGGGCTGGTATGGCTCGGGCAGTGTGCCCTTGATACGCTGAGCGAAACTGAGCCGGATTTCCTTATCCAGAGCGCCAATGATGAATGCCTTTTGGGGGTGTAGGTCAGGCAGATACACGTCATCAACCCACTCCGTCCACTTCCAGGTGAAGCCAAAGTTACTCAAGTGATGTGAGAACCAGTCAACAAACCTCTGAGACAGCTCCAGGTCGATTCGGCTAGAGTTGCGATACATGTGCCGGATTGCTCGACCCAAGCTGGGAGCGATTGCTGCAGGCGCAATCTTGCAGGCCTCAGTGAGAACTGAGTGGTAGTAAACAAGCTTGTGCTCGGGAAGTGGAAGCTGGAAGAGTTGCGAAAAAACGGCATCAACGGCCACATCCTCGGGCTTCCACGTTGAGCGACCAGTTTCGACATCTCTAAGTCTGTCAAAGGGGGTCGCACGCTTGACGAAGGTCGAGTCGGAAAAGTAGCAGTCTAGGTCAATGAGATACCGCGCAGTAACGTTGCGGTTGAAGTCGAGAATGTTGATGGTATCAACCAAGCCATCTCTGACCAGAGACGCTGCAATGTCCGTGACAGGTGGAACAGACTCGACTTCCTGAGTGCTGTAAACCGAATAGTAGACTTCAGGGAACAGCGGTCTTGATCCAGCGACAATCTTCTCGGGGACTGTGATGGTGGGAAGGACATGCTTCGTGGCGTTATCCAGCTTCTCCTGCGCTTCAATCTCCTCAAGGGGCAGCTTCCAGGGCCTAGGAAGGCATGACAACTCCCAGCCATTGGCCGCTTCATGCTGCAGTTGCTTTTGAAGCATGCCAATCAAGCTCATGGAGCCGGTAGGCTGGTCTTGCTTCTCGGGAAGGTATGGATCGATCAGGACCTGCAGGGCGTGAGGCTCTGAGGCAATGATTTCGGTCTTGTCCATCAGGTCGGCGGCCTTTTGTTGCCATTGATCGGGTGCTGCTGACATGATGTACGGAATTGTGAGAAGAATGATCTTCACAAGCTCGGTGCCAATCGTCTGCCAACATGTTAGTAACTTGGGTCACCGTAGCAGAAGACGGATGATGCCTACGTCGTCAGAGCTCGCAGTTTGCAGGTCCACTGCTCGGCCGAACAGCTCCTCGAGAACGGGGAAAATTCCCTCGCCGTCCAGGGAGCTTTGTAGGCATGCAAGCAACTTGAGATAGAGCTTTACATCTCTCCATTCGCCTGCTTGGATCTTCTCTTGAGTCGCGGCGCTCAGTTTGGTGAGAACCTCATCCACAATCTCGGGCTTGAGCGTGTTCACCAGAAGAATCACACCAGCGACGAATGGCGTCTTGAGCGGTTGTTCTAACGAAAGCTGTAACACGAGACTAACGAAGCTCTCGCGGAGCTCTGCGTCCTCTGCGTTGTCCGCGACGACGTGCGCGATGCCTTGGACCTCTTCATGCCAGCGTCGGAGCGGGGATTCGGCGAGAGAAAGAAGTTGTCTGCGGACTCTCACAGGAAGGGGCGCGGTATCGATCCTTCGTCGCGACTGTCGGTGATCGTTGTCATCGTCGTCTGTCGTGGCCAGAGTTAGTTGGCGAGATTGCGCTGAAACGGAGACAAGGCGCACGATGGGGAGAAAAGCTTACCTCGATACCTTCTCTTCCTATTGTTATAACCTCCACCACCGCCGCCACCACCATGGTGACGTCTTCTCTCGTAGTCGCCCATATCAACCGGCTACGAATTTGATGATTGGGCAAGGTTGAATGTGGTGATAATGCGTATGAGAAGGTCAATTGGTAGACTGGGGGCGAGATTACTTTCAGTTGCACGTAGCCTTGAGGCAGGATCCACGTCGAAAAGTGACGGAGGAAAGACGCGAGCTTCCCCTGCTAGCACCTGTATGTCAAGGCAAGGTAGGTAGGCAGCGTCTATTTGCCCCGGTGGCCCCTGCTTGCCTGCCTGCGAAGACCATCAGGTGTTTGCGTGTTGGCCTGAGGCAGGATATATTTACCACCCAGATGCAATGTGAGAGAGACACATCCAGGTACCCCCCAAAGCCCCACCATCTCACTTGTACCTCCAGATCACGTAAATAAGGTATCTACATTTCTGCACACCCGACACTGCCGAATGGTCTCTTGAGGTCAACTACGATTTCCCCGAGCATCACCATACGTCCTCATGTCACTGTCCTGTCGATGAAGAGATGCCGGCCGTGAGCCCGGAATGGAAAACAGAGTCGATTGCCTCACAGTTGATCTGCTCGGCCACTCCAAGTCAAATTCATAACAGCAGTCTTTCCCAATGTCTGAGCAAAGTAGCCAGTCCCGACCCTTTTAATTGACCTCCTTGGCTCGCCATCGTTGCGTTGCCATGAATAAACAGAGAAAGTTAAAATCTTTTCCTCGGAATCATGCCTAATACCAATCCAGACCTACCGCCCACGTCTCCCACCCAACGGGAGAGGGCATCCCGACTCCAGAGCTTCCTCCTTTCTCTACCAACAACCATGAGAGGGGTTCATCCCGCAATCACACGTAGTGTGTCTTCCACGCACTCCCGAGTTCTGATAATTCAAGAAGTCTCGCCAGACCATACTGAGTGACGAAAATACGAAGAAAGGTTAGGCTGAACCGTCCAGACAATCGTTTGCCAAAGCGTGCTGAAGCGTTTTCGGTAACAAGGTGAAGAACAAAGTGAAAGCCATCCCGAATCCTGCATCGTGATATAGTCCAGAATGGCGTCTTTTGTAATACGCAGCAATGCAGCCTCCCATGGAAAGGTGGCCATATATTGCAGAGTCCGCAGGTATGCCTCAATGGCCCAGTTCTTGTCGTGCCTCCTCTACACTGTAGTGGAAGGGCTGACGCTTGACGACGCACAAGACACCTCGCAAATCCTCGCCAGTAAGCCTTTGCGCTTCGAGCAGTTGATGCAATCCAGCTTCCAGTCGTCATCGCACATTTGAACATCTCATCATCATTTGGTCCGTCGTCCGGTCGAGGCCGATGCCCCTACGCTTCATGCATGAACTCCATCTTGGTGTGCGCTGGTCGAACGATAGGCTTGCAGCCGAGATAAGTCGGGAACGATCCACAAGTGCGCTGAGTTCCTGGACAAGTCCTCGGCTAGCTCAGTCCAATTTGGCCATCATGTCGGCCTTTGGAATTGGAGTAAAGTTGTCAATGTCCAATCCCCTTCCTAGGAGTACGGGCTTGATGTGCGCGGGCACCAACTGGTGGTTCAGGTTCGGGGCAATTGACAATTCTTTCAGATTTGTTAGAAAAGGCGAATTATTTCAATCGGAGAAGAACACTTACCATGGCGAGTGAAGTCGAAAAGAGGTGGTAGATCCCGAATTTCGCCGCTCTGGTGTCGAGAATCGGGCAGCCTCGTGCTCGGGTCTCTAAGCTCGTCGAAGAAGGGATGAACCATGGCTTCCACTGCTGCTTGTCTCTCGGTAGGGGTGTACTCAAGAAGGCGTGCGATCAAGTCGATGGCATTCGCATCTGCCTTCCTAAAGACCTTAGCGAAAGGGTGCGGCTTGATCTGTGGGAATTTATGTTCCATGTAGTTGGGATTCATGGTGCGAATCTGCTCTCGTGTTGGCGTGCCCAGGACCTTGATGATCTCGACTAATTGATCAATGCCTGATTCTCCAGGGAAGAGAGGTTGACCGAGCATCAATTCTGCCATGACACAGCCGGTGGACCATACATCTGTGATAGAACGTTAGCATCGGGGGCCGGAATCGAGGTCGATGAGCTCACCAATCTTGGTAGTGTAGTTTGTGGCACCAAAAATCAGTTCTGGTGCACGGTAGTATCGAGAACAGATATACGACACATTTGGCTCGTTCTCGACCAAGATCTTAGCGCTACCGAAGTCGCAAAGCTTCAAGATGCCTGAAGTAGGGTCAAGAAGAAGGTTTTGAGGCTTGATATCACGATGGCAGATGCCTTGAGAATGGATGTAGGCGAGAGCGCGGAAGAGCTGGTAGATGTAAAGCTTGACCTCGAGAATGGGCATTGTCGTCTTCATCTTGTTGAAGAAGCGGGACGCACGATAAACGGTCTCGGGCACGAATTCCTGGACAAGGTTGAGATATACCTCATCTTTCTGTTTTGTGTCAGCAAGCATACAGATCCGATAAAAGGACAGTGCTTACGCGTTCTCCGTTGGAATAATAAAAGGCCTTCAACTGTACGATGTTGGGATGCCGGACAATCCGCATAATTTGAAGTTCTCGGTTCTTTGGGAAAGTTAGCACGTCGCCGCGAGTTATGGCCGATGGGCATCATGGCAAACCTTGAACCTCTTGTCCTGGAGGACACGCTTGATAGCCGCATCTTCTCCTGAGGGCGAGAGCTTGGTCTGGAAGACGACACCAAAAGAGCCGTTGCCGACAATCTTGCATTGCGTGTACTGGAGATCTCTCGTTTCTCCAGTGATCCCGTCCTGGACCTTCTCGCGAATAACCTCTGGTGATCGCATTAGTACGGCAGGGTGAGGGATTGATTTCGAGCTGGTTGTAGCTTACCTCCCATTCTGAGAGTGTTGAAGGCGGCGGGGCGATTCTGCGCCATGGCTCTGAAGGTGTTGTCAGCACGGCAAAGCCCTGCTATTGTTGGCCGATGTTGGGCGAGCTGAGATCGAGAGTAGTGAGGGGTAACGGATCCGAGACTCGAAGGCGAGCCGTGATGGGCAGCGGAGGACGAGAGCTATGCTTCGCTGGCGTGGGGTTCGTGCAAGGGTGATTGCACGAGAGTGAAGTAGGGAGCCGACGAACCAATTGCTTGTTTCGAGAGCCAAAGAATTGAGTGCAGGTGTGGTCGCGAGGAGGTTGTAATTGAGAGCGGCGCCGGTAGCGGATTCGCGTCGGGGATCGGTTCAGTCTTGCCCGCTGAGGGAAATCAGGATTTATTTCAGAGTCGACGTTAAGCAATCTCCAAGGAGCTGGTGGATGTGTTCATTAGCTAGCCGTCCAACCGTTTAGGAATTTGAACAAGTTGATCGTGGTTGATAGGTCGACGATGGGCAGGGTACTGAGCGTGTTGTGCGACAAGCAGTGATGAGCGAGGATGACGGATGGTCGAGGGGTGCGGGGTGGGGAGGTATTTTGACAGGGAGAGGGAGAAATGGCAGGGCAGGGGAATATGAATGATGGCGACGATGCAAGGCGAATGGTGGCAAGGCGAGGAGCAGAAGAAGCGGAAGTATTGGAAAGGCACGGTAGCAGCCAGAGGAAGAAGAGGAGGGCAGAGCAAGCCAGGGCAGGACAAGTTTAGGACAAGACAGACAAGACAGAGAGGATAGGAGGGGGTGGGCAGTGTAGTGTGTATATGCGCTGCGCTATGCATGCAGCACGCAGTGAGGTGATTTTTCGCTCAGGCAGAGGGGAAAATGCCAGGTACGTGCAGCCCAGTAGTGCGAGGCAGCTATAGACACCTTGAGCGGAAGAATTTGGCCACAACACACCTAGCAAAGACCACTTCTCTCGCGTGTAGGTGAGCTGCTGATGACGGGCCGAGAAATAGGGCAAGATTCGGCGGATTGCGGTTCAGTGTTGTCGAGGCGGTTGGTAAGAAGGGCGAAAGGGGGACTGGGAAGGGGGAATGTGGTGATGACGGCACAGCACGTCGCTGAGGGGCAGGGCAGGCGGACCAAGCAAGCAAGCTCAAGGATGGTGATGTTTCTGCCTCATGGTACACGAATCGGGAGGAATTGGATGGGGAGGGCTAGCTAGAAGGAGATTGGCAAGAATTACTTACAATGACTGGAAATTGTCGACGAAGGCAGGATTGTAGGAAGACGAAAAGATGGCAGATTGAACCTTTCTCCTCTCGTGGTGCTCAAAGAGTAGTTGCGGCCGGCGGCTACAGGCAAGGTGCGTTACGAGAGAGGGAGAGAGAGAGAGAGAGAAATGGAGCAGAGGCGATGGCTGCCCTGGCTGGGTAGCTTTGGTTTGCTGGGGTGGGTGGTGTGCGGGTGCGGGTGGGCAGACGGGAGACAGTGCTTCTTCGGGAGGCGAAGAAGGATCGTGAGATTTGGAACCGAAGTCGTTTCGATGACAGATGCGTGTGATGGCTGGTAGCTAGCTAGTGGGGGGGAAGCTTTGCGTTAAGGGATCTGTATATTTGGAGACGACGAGAGTCGAGGCGAAATGCCAGTTGAAAGTGGGAAGAGAAAGAGCAATAGACGGGGGTGGGAAGTTTGGTGAAGTTCAGGTCGGGTACCCAAGAGGTGGGAGAAGGAGGATGTTGTCACGCCGTTCAGAGAAACGCGAGGTGGGTTGGTTGGTGGGAAGGAGTGGTCGGTGGTGGAGACGTGGATGAAGTAGGCAAGGACCAAGGTAAGGTAAGGAAGGTATCCGTGAGGTAGTTGGGAAGGCACGGTACGAAGTAATGGAAGGAAGGCGAGAGGTAGGGAGGTACTTTGAAAGAGGGGCAACAGGCCTGGGGTGGATTGTGCGTCTTGTTCTTTGGGCTTGAGGCCTCGCGGACCACACGGCAGGGCAGACTAGCGCGCGCAGCTGGGCGAGGAATGACGGAGTGCGTCCCAAGTCCAGTGACTGAACAAGGGGGGGTGGCCTAAGGTACCTTACCTTGCCTATTACCTGAGCCTCGAGGTACGAGGAGAGGGGAAATCAATCAAATAAAATAAATATACATCAGAAAATGTATAGGGTAAACGAAGTGAAGACATCGTCGCTACCTTACCCAGGTAAGAGCCCTTAGGTATCACTGCTGCTTGCCGTGACTAGATCGACTCCGTCAGAGTACGACAATTCCATCAACTTTGCACTTGACAATTCCCTTCTCTTCAACCTAGTACCAAGTCATGTACGATCAGAGGCCCCTCATGGTAGATCTTGCGCTGACGCTTGTTCCCGGCCTTTCCAACTTTTGACCACCTTCTCGTTGCCTTCCTCGCCAATTGTCATTCTCCTGGCGCCCGAGTTGCCCAGAATTCTAGAACTGGATAAAGCATTGATCTCACCACTAGTAGTGTCAACAGTGATTATTTGGAAGGAACTAAGTACTAGGCAATCCAGTGGGAGATCTTCAGAAATGTCAACACTCTGGACAGCTTCTTCGGGGTGTTAAGGCCAAAGCCACAGAAAGAGTGAAGCGGCTCTAGGAGGTGTCGGTAGAAGACGCCAGCTTGACCATCTAAATCACGATCAAAAGTGAATGCGTACATGAACAGAGAGTAAGATGGTGAATGCCATATGATAGTCCGTACAGCATGGGTACTACATTCTTAGCCGACACAACGTGATGTAGTCTACACAGTAGGACATGTCATCGAGAACGTGAGGGTGCGGTTCTCGAAGGAACAGGCCACGCGGGGTTCAGAGAGGGGCGGCGGAGGTCTCCAGGGTATCAAGCAAGGTAGGCCGGCGTGCGGCGTGCCGTGCTCGAGGTGCCGAAAAGTATGGAGGTGCTCAAGGTTGAGTGCGGTTCGGACAGAGTGGCGTTTGAATCGTGGGTAGTACATTTTTCAATCATAAAGTAGGTAGATAGCTTTCAAACTTTGGCACTTGGGGGTTGTTGCGTTGCAGTGCCAGATGGCATGGTTTTCTCGAGTCTCAAATCAAGTCAAACCTTGAGATGATCGACGGCACCTTGCTTTTGCTTGAGGCAGGTTGAAGACAACTGAATGAGACAAGGTCGTACAATAAACCAGACAATTCGTTGGAATTGATACAGTTGCCCTACTTTACCAATACTGGCAAGCTCGAAGAAGGCCGAGCAAGCAGTGATGAGCAACCTGCCATGGGCTCTGGTCAGAAAATACAGCACACAAGCACCCAGGAAAGCCACGAGAAAGAACCCAAGTAAACAAGTCTGGGTGCGTTTGGTAACCAACCCTGGAAGTTGATCGACCAATAGTGTCGCTAAATGGCGAACACTCACAGCAGAGTCATCAACTCAAATCGATAAATCTGCCCGCCCGCAACGGGTAGAGAGCAGATCAAATGAATGGTGCTTCCCTCGTACTGCGTGCATCTCGACAAAGTCATCGAGTCTTCCCTAGAAGCCCAGAGACAGTCCAGGCTGAGTCCAGAGCTTTGGTGAGGTGGGGACCAAGCACCGGCGGGAGACGCAGTTCGAATGGTTCCAGGTTAGCCTTTCATTGTCGTCCCCTCGTCGTCTCCAGACAAGGACCCGCTGCGCCAGGCTTGCTCATGTGCTCATTTTGAGACGGGGAGGCAGGCGCTAAAACTCGGCAAGCGGAAGTCAAAAACCCAATGGATGTGCATGTCCCTGTTTGCTCCTGTCAGCCTGTGTGAGGCGTGCCTCAGTGCCTGTGCTGTTTCCTACCTAGGTACCCAGGTCTTGCCAGCTAAGGTACCTTGCGCAAGAACACCATGAACATCGAATACGTTCCCGTCTGTCTTTTTCCTACTGGAAGCTGATACCTCAAGGAACGTATGTGCCTTCTGTCATGGCAAGGTAGGTGGCACGGTAAGGTAGGTAGCATGGCCTTTTCACTCCTTCTATCTTACCTTAGTTTACTAAAGACAGATTCATACCTTCAAATACTCTGTACCCGACGTAGTCAGCAAGTAAGGTAAGGTAAAGTAGGGTACCTAGGCAGGCACATGAGGTGGTACCTATGCATCTGCGTGCCTACCTGAAGAGAAGCTTGGGTTCGGACTGAATTTCCCCCCTGCAAGTTCCAGAGAGACAGAGCGAAAGAGAAGAAAAAGAATCAATATGGTACGGATCATATAAGCACATTCAACATAACCTATACTCACAGTATCTCGATACAAAATTCGGTGCGGCCTTTGCAGGCAAGCCCTAGGTAGTAACTGAGGATGAAAAACCAAGGAACCTTTCACCTGCCTAGGTGCCCAAGTGCCTTACCTTCAGTTACTTTCCTTACCTAATAGGTCGGTACAGCAAGTGCCCCTGCCTACCTTACCTAGGTACCTAAGGTAGGTAGTTACGATCTTGCTTTGCTTGCCTCCTTCGCACTATTCAAACATCCACCGTTGAGGCACCGGAGCAGCCTACCTCCTTTTACATTCTCAGCCTCCATCACAATATCGCTTCTTCCATCCATCATGTATGTGCTAGAACACTCCCTTTCTCTCTCTGACTCTCAAGCATTTCTCATCCCACATTCGCTGTCGTACCTTGGACCAAAACGGGCCGTGTCCACTAATCTGCTGTCATTCGCTAGGGTACTGCCGGGTACCTTGGACCAGCTGACCTGCTGGGTCTTCTACGTGTACCATCCTAGTACACGACGCGCGACAAGTCGAGGTGATTAAGGCACGCACTACCTTAGCATCTTGGGTAGCCGGCTACCAATGCGCCTCAAGACCGACCTGCTGAGCGGCCCCGATTCTGCAGGGTCCAATAGGCACTCGCACGGTTCTTACAACGACTTTGATCCCTTCCGCCACAGTCCAAATGGTCTTCCTTGCCCGCCTCCTAGATGCCGCACGAGACGATTGGATCTTTGCCTGCAAAGATTGATGTTCACTCTGAATCTACCAGATTCTTGAACAAGTCAGAGCACAACATTTCGGGGTTAGCCATGCGTGGGAACGACAGGTCACCCTCGACTCGCCTAGACACGGGCTGACAGCGACGCTCCCAGTTCGGAACATTATGGCAGTGTCAAGACAATCGCAGAACCTTGCGGCTTTTTTAGTCGCCACCTCCGACAGCCGATGGAGGTTTTGCTTCCCGCAGAAGGGCAGAGTCGTCTACCACTTTGAGAATGTGTTGTCTCTTTTACGTCTAAAGAGTAAATATCTTACTGCTGGCGAACCTATTCTCAAGGTTCAACTCGAGTTTAGAGGCAACATCCATGGCAAGTGCCAGCTCTTTCAATTCACAATCCATCCGACAGTTGCTTCTTGCTTTCACTCGAGCAGACCCCGCGGGGGTTTCGTCTTCTACTTTTTTTCTAAGTAGGCACGTGCTGAGGTCACGCAGCTTCAATCCAAGTTTGGTCACGGCTGGTTGCCAGCAACATGTTCAGCAAATCCAGAAGTCTAGCCAACGCTGCGGACGGCTTGGAATTGCAGAACCCCCTGTTCCTACAGCGCTGTGGGTGGGCAAAGAGTTTTCACATCATGCTTTCTTTTATATTGAGATTCGCCCGCCGCATATTTTCTGCACTCGAATGGAGTCCAGTGCGCTCCGGTCGTTTCTGACAGTCTGTTCGGCCGTCTGGACATGCAAGAGCAGGGATGCAGTCACTGGGTTAAACCTCGCCGAGCTACGATGAGGAGGGGATGGCTGGGTTGATGGGAAGGGATAAAGCTGGTGCTAGACTGCTAGTCAATGGTCAGAGCTTCCGTGGCTTGCGGCTTGCGGCTTGCCCTTGGTGCGTGCCCTGCTGTGGGCGGCCAACAGCAGAGAAGGGGTGAGGGAAAAGGGGAAAGCAGATGGGTTTTGCGCTCCATGGGATAGGCAAAGAGTCTCATCGAAACCCAGATGTAGACTTTGGAACTTTCTCTCCACGGAGACTCTGCATTTCTTGTGGCTCTAGGTTCCTGTGCTGCTGGATCCTCCCACTCCTCCATGGACCTTGCCAATGCCATGTCCCCCCAACCCCGCCAAAGAGACTTGTCGAAAGGTCCTATGACGACGTTTCCATGTGTGGAGGAAACGGCCAAGTGCGGGGCACTGAGCCCAGCAGGAGTCGTGGTTGTGGCTCGCGTCTCGTTGAGGAGGGGCCGAGGGGGTGGGGCCTGAAGCTCGCCAATGTCAAGTTGGTGTTACTCCAGGACCACAATGGCACAAAGTACGAAGTACCGCAGCAACACTACATTAGCAAGACGGACCAAGTGGTTGATGGAGGCACAGCATGACACCAATCCCCACGAGCGGATGCTCTTTGTTAAGAACCAAGTGGAGTCATCACGCGAACCGGTTGCTATTGCCTGGGTCCGTCAATCCGTGGGCCGTGACAGAGTAGGATCTGCCTCTTGATTCTAACTTTTGTGTCTGCCCTCGTGGGAATCGAGATGTGAGAGCAGCTAGGCCTCTCAAGCGACGTTACCAACTACGGGGTCAAGGATGAAGATGGACGATAACGACAACCAAGATGGCCATGCTGGGTTCACGATAATTGGATTATCACGATACCCAAATGGACCATCAAGGCCATTGACTTTGAATGAGCATGGCTTTCATTCGTCCGACTACTCGGTGGTTGCCGCAGTCGAGCCAACACAGACTTAGTTTCGTCCAACGTCTATCTGATGGTCGCAAGGACATCGGCATTTTAGTACGCTGCAGCTGCAAGCCACCACAACCATCTTGGTGAGCAGATGCGCTGTCACCTCTTTAACATCCGATCATGTCAAGCGGGCAATTACTGCGTATAGATGGATCTGTTTCTTACTAACGATACTCACGGCGATGCAGTTATTAACACTTGGTCTATTTGCGAATGCCTCATGTTGATGAGAGACTCCTACGTCATTTTCACGGTCCAAGCTCCTGGTCCTTGTTTGGGGCTTGGGCTTCAATAGAACGTGCGCCCAAAGTTTGCAGCAGCATAACAAGGGTAATAGTCAAGAAAGGAGTATTCGTACGGATACTTGATGGGCAAGCTTGTTGAATCATGCAGCCTTGAACCGCATGGGTTCTTGAGCCTCTTGACCAACATCCTGGATCCAGCAAGCAACGGCGGGTCTATTTTTGTCGGCTGGCCTGCTTATTTCGTAACTTGGAGGCAACTCGTGAGAATGATTGTGATTTGGTGGTCACGACTCACTGGCGCCTTTCCGGGACTCCAGCAAGGGGCCTGGAAACTTGGTGACTTGTTCTCGTCACGCTGTCGCTTTGGTTCAAGGGCCCTTGTCCACGTGCTCCATATAATCGCGTGTTGCTGCCATATTGTATTCTGTAAGGCAGGTTCGACGATGGATCATTACCTAAGCTTTCGATGCATGTGACATGCTTCACCTTGGGTAGGCCCGTAGGCCAGCCGCCAGCGGCGGACTACCTATCATCCAATCGCAGCCCAAGGCCAAAGCTCGACGGCAGGAAGGAGGGGCTCACAGACACAGATAGGTATTCGTACTTAGCACAAATGCAAAGCCCAAGGTATGAGGAAGGAATGGAAAGGACACTAGAAAGAGCCTTTCACAAAATCAACTACAGCTGGAGAGTCCCGTCACGAGTAAGCGTATCCGTACCCCGTATCTTACGGAGAGAGACTGACCTGCGGACTGCGGGCTTGCACCTGAGGTACGGTGGACTGGCTGGGCCCCTTGTGGAGGAAAGAGGAGGAGGAGAGCGTGGTGGGCTGTGGGAACTGTTAGCAAAGGTACCTCTCTATCTGGCCCATCCTGCGCCGCAGCCCCCCAGGGTTCGGTCTGTCTTTTTCTGGATACAAACAGGTCTCATGACCTTTCTTATGCGACGCTAATGACGGATTTTAGGTTCACCTGGACCACCAGAGGTCAGCAGCATCTGATCATTTTTCTTCCTTTGCCTGGCAGTCTGGCACATTTGGCTGCTACTCCTCTTTGCTGAATACTCCCCCCTGGTGCCAATAGTCCTGTTATTCAGTCCGGCCGTTCTAGCGAAGCAAGCTCGACATAACGAGCCGCAAAGGGCATTTCCCCGTGGATCGTGGCAGGGTCCGTTGGCGACCACGGTCGAACAGGAGCTCTATCCGTCCCATGGAACGGGGAGCCTCGATAATCAGGGGACACGTCTAGACCGGCCGGCACGCACACAGCTTCCCAGGATTCAGGGAAAGGAAACTAAACATTGTGAACCCACCCATGCGGGCAGCGACTTACTGTGAGACTTCTTGCGATTACACACACCACCCACAGCCCGGCCATAGGTACGGTGGTACCTAGGTTCTCGTTACCCGCTATCGAGACTTTACTATGAACAAACCCAACACAGCTTGTCGACGTCGTCAGCTTCCCTCGCCAAGGGGTTCGTGTCTGAAGCTCCTCCTCGAGTCTCCATCAGCTCATTGCTACGTCTCCAAACAGAACCTGAGATTCGAACAAGATCTGCTACGGCAACAGAGATCCATACATCCGCCCAGCTGTTTTTCTTCGTCATCGAACGCGCAGCCTGCCATCCAGCATTGTTCACCACCCACCACACGTTACGCACACCTCACACACCACCGGCGACCCTCTCCCGCCCCGGCACCCAGTCTGCAGCTCGGTGCCTTGTCTCTGCCGAAATGAAACCTCCGAAGGAGCGGGCAACGCGGGCATGCGGACTAGTGAATACACGATTGACAAACGCGGACGGAGGGGTTTTTAGCCTCACATAAGCCGCAATGTTCCAAAAGCTCGCACACTCTTCTCTCTCTGCCGCTCGCCCTGAAGGCTTTTTGGGCTGAGGGCGTCAATCTCACGACGTGCCTTGCCATTGCCAGACAGCAAGCCAGCAGGTCCTAGCCCACTCCTCTCAGGAACCACGATGTACCTTGTCTCTCCGCTGGACTGACCTTTGATACGGCGTAAAGCATCTTATTGAAATGCTGTGGGCTGTCCTGACTAATCCCCGCCTTCTCAGTCGCTGCAGGCGTTGGCTTGTCCCTGCAGCCGTGTCGTCGCCGCCCGGATTGGTCGGCCGACCTGGCCAGTATTGTTGCCCGCCTCCGTCGAAAGAATCCGCCCCTACGGTGCGTTATTAACTGGCAACCACGAACTCCCGCCGCCCTCAAAGTCACACTCGGGTTCGCTGCGACTGGCCGATCATCTTTCGGCTACCATGGCTGGCCCGCCACCGACGCCGACTCGACCTTTGCGTTGGGTTGCCCATTTACCTCATACGTCCGATCCGATGCCCTCTCCCGACCACGTGAGCCTCAAGGTTTGGTCTGCCTACTGCGTCCGCGTCTGCGTCTGCGTCTCTGGTAGCACACAGCTTCACTATAGAGAGGCGCGTTGGGTCACGGACTTGTTTGACTTGCATTCAAAATCCTACAGGCCATCATTGGGGAAGAGGGTGCTTCATTCCTGTTGGTTGAGACGCACAGACAGAGCTTGTCGTTGGACTAAGACGTGTGCGAATTCCCATGTCGGCCCCCTGCCACGCATCTGTTGACTGGCCTGCCAGGCCCTCCTCCGAATTCCTGAGCCGAGCGGTAATGCACTACATCTCGTCACCGCATCCCTTTCGCGGTAGCCGCATGGCTTCCAGGCTTCCTGGCCACAGCATTTCGACCATCCCGCCGCCAACTTACTTAGCCTCCATCGGGAAGGGCCAGGGGCATGGGTTGAAGACGCTGCTCATGGGATGGCGCACTCAACGGACGGCAAGCGGTCCATGAAAGCCGCTCGTCGTTCGCGTGGCTGAACTCCAACGTGGCATCCTGCCGTAAAACTCAGAATTCCCGATGAAACCCTTCCAAATTACCCGTTGGAGAAAGAAGAGATATATGACAAAAGTGAAAGACGTCGATACTACAGAGTCCTAGGCAGGTAGGCATTCGAGCTCAACAGGTATCCGGCCAACGCTCGCTATCTCCGGGCCCCGGTACTGCGAAATCTCACGACCAATTCATCCACGCAACGTACTTGGACCGTCACACGGTCGATGGATGGTGGATCCTTAGGAGTCCCAAAGGGGAATGTTGCGCCACAGGAAGAACAGCCTACTGCAAGAAAAGAGGCACGCTGTCGTCCCGTGGGCGATGTTATTGCTGCTTCCTCTCGTCACACCCTTTCTCGGTTGCGAGTGGAGAGATCTCAGTACATCCCGACCCAACTGCAGAACAACAGACCCGGATTGCTAGCTAGTTACCGCACAGATATGAGCTTGGTCAAAGCAGTTTTTGCGGCTCTCACCATTGGATGGATCGTCACCAGACCTCATCCCTCAACCATGGGTATGCCAAGTTGTAACGGCCGCCTGCAGCCGCAAGGGAATCGCTGGGGTTGAGGCCGCTTGGTGTGCCGAACAGTCGAATCACGCCTAGCCTTTTCGACTTCGTACCCACAAATTCTAGCCCGAATCCTCATCGGTGAGGGTCCCTGGGAAGCAACAGAGACCCATCTCGAACGGCCGGTTAGTTAACATGACTGCCCGTGCCAATGGATGGGTTACAAATGCTGCCAAATGATCCGCCATTATAAACATTACACGCAAGAGTCCGACAACCATCTTGTCGACAACATGTGACAAGGAAACTTTGACCTTGATAGGAGATACCATACTATGCTATGGATTCAGACATTCAGGATGCAGCTCAGCTCTGTGGCACTCACTTTGAGGCGAAAGTCTCTTAGTCTTGAGGCTGTCAGTGGCGAACAAGTTTAAAGGTAGCCAAACAACGGCTCAAAGATTGGGAAGTTTCGAGTCTTGGACTGCTTGAATACGGCTTCGGCTCAAATGCTACCAATCATGGCGACTTCCAAGTTCTAACAAACTCGTGGTTGGACTGCAAAGATCTTGATTCCTCAACGTATCTCCGACGGCCACCGAGCTATTTCGGTGTGTGTATCCTTGTATGGAGCTCGGAGCACTCAGCGGTTGTTGCTTTCTCACCGACTGCCGCTAGCAAGGTGTGCGAATGCGTATCAGACGGAAACGGTGCTATTCTGACAGCATGCGTCAGATGTAACTCTCTCGCAATTGTGCACGAGGCAGGACGCATTGCTGAGTGGGTCCTGAAATGCGACGATGATTCTGATAACCTTTGATCTCGACAGAAGAAGAGCAAGTCGCTTCCAGGCTTTTGTCGGGCAGTGTCATGCTCAGCGAGATCGCCAACCAGACGCCCGTCTCAAATCCCGCTTCGGTCAACTTTGCATGGGCATCTGTGAGTTTGCCTTGCCGTATTAGGTCCTCGGTCTTCAGCCAGGTACGTGCGTATTCACTATTGAAAATTCTATCATAACTGATGGTGGCCAAGATGCTCTGGATGTACACACCAACTCTACGTTGTAGCAATGCAGCAACCCTCAATGCCTCATCATCTGACGGCGATTCTAAGGCGCCTCCCTCTCTCATCTCGGATTTCTATCATTGTTAATATGGACTTGCGTATTGCCCGCACGAGGCCCGGCATTGGCTCGCATCGTACGACACATCGATGATCTTGTCCCTGACGAAGCATCTTGCAGAACCCAACCTGGTCTTGTTCATGACAGATTCTCGGAGAGATCGCCAGTCCGGCCATGGATCACAGCCAACCCACCACCGCAAGATCAGCTACCGGTCTGCTTGGGGAACACCTGAAGCAATCCATCTTCAATGGGTGCCTGAGGGTTGCTGTGCCTCACCTCTTTCGAGCGACCTGCATGCTGAGCTAAACCCGTATCACTACCCTCCAAACCCAACCTTGCAACGGCACGCTACATGGATGATGGCGGCATGGTTGGTCTGCTCTGGTGTTCAGAGATGTTGTGCTGCAGAGCTTTGTGTCACAACCACAGAGATGTTTCATTCACCTGCATCATCGAGTTGCCTCGGACGCCTCGCTGCAGGACGCCATCAGCCTTTCAGGAAAGCAGCTGTAGCGCCCCGTCCAGATGGTGCTTGAGACTCGTACCGATGGCATTCTGTTTCACACGATGTGAAATCTTCAGCTCCTTTTCCCCCCAACGGCCTCAGTTGTTCTTGTTCTCGCATGACGACCGGGTCTTCGTTCCAAATTTATGGCCGATTGCCTATCTGCCAAATAACGGTGAGACCTCTGATGCGAGCGTCGTCAGGCGGGCCCTGCTAGTTATTACAATACGGAAAGTAAACACCAGCCCATATCGCTGATCTGGTAGGCATAGAAGTCAGCCGGGGGCTCCTTTGACTGAATGAGATCGTTCCACGTGCTTTGAGGACGCTCGTGTCGCCGCCATCGCCGCCTTCGAGCCGCGTCTTGTCGTGGCACCTCATGGCAAGCCTCCTTAAGCACGCCGCCGTTCTAAGGGCGCATCTCCCGCCCAACAGGATCGGCAGGAGGCGGATCCCGGGTTCAAAGCAGCTCTCTCTCTATCTCTCTCTTTTTCCTTCCGTTGCATCACCCGCCGATGACGGACGGATTCTGCAGGCCCGGGAGCCCAAATAACACAACTTTGACAGCACAACATGTTTCAACACCTGCATGTCTGAACGCCAGAAAAATCTCTGTCGGTGCGCATGCGTTGACCGGTCTCTCACCGACGGCTTCCCGAAAGGGGTGGCGCTGTGAGACTACCGAAGAAACTTTTTTGTTTTCCTTCTCCGGCTTCCCAACAAAAATTTCTTCTTCACTCTTTCTTCACCGCTTGATTGTTGACCGAATTTATTATTCTTCTGAACGAGACTACAGCCAACCGTCCAAACCCGTCTTGCGGCGCAGGTACGGGATTTCCGATTTGCATTGTTTCTCCAAGACAAGTGTCTGGCTAGAGTGTTGGTCAGAGTTTTCCTCTTTCTCTCTCTATTCACGGAAGCCCGTAGAATTTTCAAGCCTTACTACATTGCTTGAACTCTACGGATTAGTCTCTGCTGTAAATGCCGAGTTAGCTATAGTACATTATCTAGTCGACTTTTCGAGAGAAAGGGACCCCCAAACACGCCCGGCTCTCTTCATCCAGGGGTCTCAAGCGGGCGTGGGGGGAAGGGATATTGATTCGGGCCGGCAGCCTTGCCCAACCGTCCATGGCCCGGGACTCGTCGGAACTTTTCGTCGTCGACGGGTCACCTTCTTGTTCGGGCCGGCCCGTAGAGGGTCTGGGGCATTTGGGTAGGTTTTTGATAAGCCCTGCTACGGTGGTGCCCGTTCCAGAGCTTCCGAATACATTATATGTCGGATTCACGAGGAAACGTAAGTGTTGTGGAGTACGCCTCAGTCCGGGATTGCGCTATCTGTTCTTCCGTTTAAATCTTCGAGGAGTTGTGGAGTTTCTTCCCGGTTCGTTGAATACCCTGGTCATCGAGATGTAGTGCGTCGTCGTCGACGCTTATGAGCCTTCCTATCTGGAGCCTTCCGTATGGGGAAGGTCAGGGATTTGAACGACTTAATGGCTGTAGTCTCCAATATCTGATGGTGATCAGTATGAGCCAAACCCCGAGATAGACCACGATGCAGTCCTGTAGCACCATATAAAGTACGCTCCGACGAATAGATACAAGGCATGCAATTATTACAAATAAGTCGATTATCCCCCACACTTTGCGCACCAGCTTCTTCGGTTATTTGCCGTCTCGAGTTTACGATACGTATGTTCCTCTCGTATAATGAGGCGATGGGAGAGATTGGTTTCGATGATATTTTGATATTGGATACCATCCTTCTCAGCATTTGCAGATTGTGGTCTTGCCCACTCATTTCAGGAAGACATTCTCTGACAGCTTGTCCTATTCCGAACAATATGACCTTTCTTGCTTGATTCATAGATGTTATTACGAACGATAGCCGAATACTGATATCATTCCCCTTGGCGCGTTTTGCTCTGAGGCTCGGCTTAGTCTGAAAGGCCGTCGCCGAATGTGTGACTCCCGTCCATGACGCCTTGTATAGATATTTTATAAGTCGCATTTCCACATCTGAAATTATTATCGGCACGACTTTTCGTGGCCTACATTCACAGGCAAGTCTCGCCGCTGGGTGATGAGTGTCTAAATATAGCGAACAGCTATAATGATGTATCAGTCATGGTATAGTACTTGAATTGCTTAGTGTTATGTATTTCTCATAAGTGACTCTAAATATGGAAGGGTTAATATATGATGGGCAAAGCTTTTGCTGATGTGACCCTTCGATGTGGACCTAAGTTTCCTTTTCTAGAAGGGACTTCCCTTGAAGATCAAAATAAAGACGAAGGGGCTACCAGATCCCCGCCAATTTTCAACTGCGAGGTTGTAGTTATGAAGGGAGACCTTCGTCATCACAGCAGTGTGTTGACCTTTTCGTAATATGGCTGTCTACATAGCGGGGGTTTATAGTAAGCGATTCCGCTCTGGTCGAGAAACAGGAACCTTCTCTATGAGCTCTGTTATCCACTTCTTGCTCAACACTTCAGGACCAGGGCTCTCCAAAAACGAGTACTTAAGAGGGCAGAGAAGTCTATCACAGGTTTTCTTTTGACACCAAGACGGCTGGGTCTCTGATATCGGGTATTTCAGACCATGGGCAACACCGCTTATTGACTGCATCAGCCGCGGAACCCACTCCGATGGCGACAGAGGCATGGTGTTTTGTTAACCATTGAGATTGCCTAGTAATTTCGCCTTCTGTGCCTCCTACGCACTAACAGCCCAAAGTATATTCCTTGTGGAATGTTCTTACGTCCAAACTAATGGGAGAGCGGCAGTGTGCCTAGGTTATTATAATAGCGGTTCTACTGATCTACCTCTCTTTCAGTCTAACTCCTTATCGATTCGCACTCTCAAAGGCTTTGCCGCTTCACATTAGCCGGCATACCTTCTTCGAGTCGATTAGGCATATTCGGCACAAGGTCGTTCATTGGGGGGTGCTGGTCAAGGACGTAGAGGCGTCCTTTATCGACGCCGAGAGACTAGTAAAGCTCCTGCGGCAGGACGAGTATTTGGCCAAGATGAGAGCAAGTAGATTTCGGCGTTTCCATGAAGGAGGAAACTTTTCCTTCTTTCTTGGCAGTAGGGAACGGTTGGAAGTAGCGTATTGAAAAGCAAGGGTGACTACGGCGACAGTAGACATTACGATATGATGAGAGAAAGGGGATCGATTATGACAAGGCAGCTGCTAGCTCCCTTGCTTAGAAATTTATTTGATAGAGCTCAAGGTAGTCAACTCAGACTTCCTGAGGTATCTCCTTACCTAAAAGCAAGTATCTGCGAGATCTAGCGGGGTAACATGCGCTGCTATGGACTTGGCTGGTAGTGTACGAGATGCGGCTCTCTCGCGCAAACGGCATGGTTGCGTTAGGTATACGGCAATGTCTACTGCAGAAGCTTCTTATATATAGTCTAGTGCTCTAGCGACTGTTTGACATATCGTACCCAACTAATCCAGGCACAGTCAGTGTCAGTGACGTGAAACTTTGAGGGACGTCGGTTCAATGGCCGAGGATGACAAACACATGATAGTATGCAAGAACGCCGAATATTCGCACCATCGCCATGAGAAACAGAGACCTTTGATGTCTTGATCGCTGCAAAATCAAATAAGTGTCAGCTCCATCGTTCTGTGTTTTCGTTTACTTCGAACCATCGTCGCTGCGTGTATAGTTGTCCAACAACGTTTGAGAAGGCATGGACTCACCATAAATCATTGTAGATAGAAAACATTGCCTCTGTGTTCGGAAACCTTCTGACCTGTTAGCAACACCACATACAATTACCTTTTCCCAGATGCTGTTGTTAAGCGCACCGAGGCAACAGAACAAGTTCATCGAACTACTAAAGATCATTACTACCATAACAGGGATTGAAAGTCCTTCCCGTCTCGGGAATCACGGGAATCTTGACAACTTGCACCATGTCACTGAGTGTGCTAATTCATCCGACTGGACTGTCAAATCATCATTGAAGGCTAAATAGAGGGCGTCAGATAGAGGTTCGAGGGCAAGGTCCATTTCAGTCATCAAGTAGTCCCTTTCCACAACCCCCATACAGTCAACACCATCGACCGTCCAGTCGTTGTCCTCAAGAGCAGTCTTTCCGTGATGGATCTCGAGGCGAATTCCCACGTAAATAGAGGAGAAATATTTTGAATGATAGACTTGTTCTAATGGGGGCATCTAGGTCGGCCTGTGTCTGCTCTCTCGTGGGGTACCAAAACGATACACATACATATATACAGGTACCCAACAAAAAAAGAGTTCACCAACACCGGAGGCTACATCTCTTGGTGCTCATGCTGAGATTCGAACTCAGGTACTCTCGCTAAGCCTGTCGTCGAGTAGGCTGGTTGGCGTAATTGATTGTTGACCATTGACCACTCCGCCACCCAGCTAGTTTGACCCGACCCGTCGACCTAGACGGGCGCCTGCTGACTAGTGACAGGAGTAGGACTGAGGGGGTTTATATACCTCAGGCTCTGACTTCCGGTGTATATTCAAGTGTGTGCGGAAGGTACGCCCGACTGGCTATTGCCTGGTTTGCTTGCAGTGACGTCCGTTGTCAGGGTTGATTCACAACAACCTCTGACACTCATTCTTACTCGTGAGAATGAGTCAGGCTAATATTCCCGTTCAATAAAACGAGGCTATACTTGACTGTAGGCCAAGCTCCAAGGAGAGAGATATGCATATATCATGAAAGCTGCAATACCTTCACGTTGGAATCGAAGGACCTGGCAAGAGCGACCGTTGACTAAGAAACGGACACGTAGACGAGACGGGGAACCGGACCATGCCGTTCTAGGGGACGATTGCTTACCACACTTGAGGGCGTCAGAGGACAGCTGAGAGACCGAGGAGTCTGCGAAAAGAAGGCTCAAATATAGGGAATACAGTAGACTATAGCCATGCCGCCAATGTCAAACCCATGCGCCACAGTATCCTCAGTGCTATAATTATACACCTGCGATCCGAACCACCCGATTCATACAATCTTCAGCCTTTTTGGACAAAAACCAAACCGGCTCGCCCATTCCAAAGCTTTCATGCCTCAGCCTCATGGCGACTCTTCCACAAGAACTCCGTATTACTGAACAACCCCAATGCACCCCTTTACAGAGACAAGTTGTAGCTGTACTCATCCTCCATATTCTGGCTAATCCAAAGCACAACACTGCTCAGTCCCACAAGCGCATTCGCAACAACATTTTCGATACCCATGCCCAGCGCCGGCATAGCAACGTCCTGCACGACAAACTTGAGCACAAACACCGTCACGCCGCCGGCCATGCCGCCGGCCAGCGCGGCGAAGCCGAGGAACAGCACGACGCGGGCCTTCCACGCGACGCCGTTGCCGCTGTACGAGAAGCTGTCGGCTGACAGGCGCGCCTTCTCGACCGAGTTGATGATGAGCATGCCGAGCGAGGAGAATATGAGGGGCAGCCAGTCGACGAAAGTGACGTGCGTGTCGGAGCCGTTGCGGGCTGATTTGGACCAGACCGCGGAGTCGAGCATGACGTAGAAGGCGATGGAGAACTGGAGGAATTTAACGACGATTAGCGGGGTCATGGCCTTTCTCTTCTTCTTTCATAATGAAGAGGAGATCAGTTGGGAGAAAGGAGGCGGTTGATGTCGCCGTTGTGACGACGGGTGCTGGCGGGGACCCTCGGGCAAGAGGGACAAGCTTACCAGAGCTCCGGCGCCATAGACGCCAAAGTTACGAGCCCAGGCACTGTTAAGCCATTCCGGCTTGCTGAACTTCCAGAGGCGCTCCTCTTCCATGTTTATTGATGTATGCGGTGACGGATAGATTGGATTGGGTTGGGGGGTTGTCGGTTTCGGAAGCGATTAGCTTGCGATAGCTTCTAGTCTGCGAACCGTCGTAGAGGGATCGGGCGGGGCTTTGGGCGTAAGTCGTATTCGAGCAGTCGATGCTCTTGGAGAAGAAGTGGTTTGTGGTCGGTGTATCGGGGGGTGAATCGGCCGCGTGTGCGTTGTTCGGCTGCTGCTGTCGTCTGCTTCGATGTAAGGCTGGTGTAGGTGACGAAGGCGCAGGTTCCGGATGTTGGTCGCCTTGACGTTGATCCGGCACAGCTGAGGCGTCACAGTCCCACTACCTAATCCCTGTCCCGGAGCTTTGCCGTGTCCACGTGACCATGGATATGTCACATGACCTTTGTATGGCGAAGGCACCTTCGTGGACATTGATTCTGCGAAGCCAATTCAATAATATTCTATTTGGTAACTCTCATTTCATAGATCAAAGTTTGAACTTAGGAACAGTCCTTTTTTCTAATCCGTACTTGTAAATGCGTTGGGGACTGACGAACTTGTTCGAATGCGCGCCATCACCGAGCCCAGCTTACATCTGACATTCCCTTGCCTTTCCACACATGACTTTGCCTGCGCCCGTGCTCATGGACGACTTCTCATTCCAAAGACACGACGTGGACCCTTCGTCGTAGATCTGATCGATGCAGAACGGCTCATCGCGGTATCCCAGGCTCAGGTTGACCCCCGTTGACACCCCGCAAACACGAATCGGTCCCAGTAACACGGAATACGAGGAATTGAGGGGCGCATGCCAGCGCACGCCGGCGCATCCCAAACACATGCACGTAGGCGTAGAGCCCATCTTTTCCATATTGACACGGGGGACGGAATACAATTTGGCCAAGGCCGTCACAGCCAACCTGTATTGAGGACTAATCCTACGCCCTTGACTCGGAGCGCTCGAGATAAAAAGTAGACAAAAGGTCCTAATAGTACACTAACAATTACCGGCACGCCTGTCAATACCAGCTCACGATGTCATCGTTCCATTCGCCTCATCCACGAGGACGTGATACGCAACATCATCTCAAGACTGCCGCAAGGCCGCCAAAGGAGATCGGCTGAGCACGGCAGGTTGGTGCAAATGTACGTATGCTGCGCAGCTATGTCCATAGGCTGCAGAACCCTCAGAATGGGGAGAGGCCCATCCGACGTATTCCGGTCCCGGCCCTTTCCTGAGAGAGCCCAAAAAGGAAGAAAAAAAAGTAGAAAATAGACTTGAAAATAAGCCCAGCCGCCGTGTTCCCTGATGCTCGAAAAAAAGTCTTCAATGTTGTATGACCCTCTGCGGACGTCCTCGCATGATGATTAGAGTCACGGACGCCTCAAACGCCGATGTTTTGCTGTATGACGGGCCCTGTCGCGTAACAAGACCCCGAGAATAGGGGAAACCGTATCGTCGTTCTGTCGTATCCAGTTTTGCACACCTTCTATATCTCGATCTCCTTCATTGGCTCCTCCGATACCTCAGGCTGCTTGCCGTTGGCCTTGGCAGTGCCATTCATCTTGCCAGCGGGGTTTGCGTTCTCCTTTCCTTCGCCCTCCGCGGTCTCGACGTGCGAAAGTAGCGACACGCGGGAGCCCTTGGGGGTCTCTTCGCTCGGCCGGGGAGTTTCGACTTCGACAAGCTTCGTTGGCTTGAGGCCGTTCGTCTGCAGCTCCGGCAAAGGGGTTTCCTCGGCCACTCGTGCCAGGGGGCTGGACTTGCCATAACCAGGGCGGATGGGGCTGGCGATCGGGGAAGTGCCTCCCAATCGTTGCATTGATCTTCCTCGTTGTTCGCCATTAGGCTCGGCTGATGTTGGGCTCGAGCTCGTGTACGGGGAGTTGGCGCCAGATCCAGCTGGGGATCCGGCTCTATTAGTAGGTGCGACCGATCTGCGCTTCGCGCTTGCAGCTCTTCGGCCGTACTTCTGATCCACACGCCATCGAAGAATGCCGAAGTAGGGAGGCTCAACACGCGTCTCCTTAAACTCCCGCAGCTTGAGCTCGTTGGTCTCCTCATCCACAAACCACTTGCCAGACGAGAGGTCGTCTGCGACCATGGCGATGAAGTGGGCCCAGGAGCGCGCAATGACGTACTTGGTATCGTAGTCGCGACCAAAGAGAACAATCTGTCCCCATTTGCCGTTGGGGCCAGGGGCGAGGTCGACAGCTAAGTTGTTTCCACCCCAATCGCGCACCAGGGGGATCCAGGCTGGGTGGGCGTACGAGCGCTGCACTGCGTTGGGAGGCACGCAATCCTGGCGAGCAATGAGGTCCTGACGCCAAGAGCCATTGTTCGCGACCGCAGGAGACGCGGGTTCTCTGGAAGAAGATGCCTGATTGCTGCTGCCGAGGGCCTTGGGGAGAGCGGCAGGTCTCTGGTAGGCCGCCTCGGAGAGAAATTCCTGATTGACCTTGCGCCACTGATCCCATTCCTGAACGATTTCCTCACAGTCTAGCAACATGGAGCCGAAGATGATGCCAGTGGGCATTCCCAGGCGCTCCTGGCCGTCGTGAACCATCAATGACTCTCTTACGTCAAGGGGCAGGGAGCAGTCGAGTTGATGCTCGAGTTCGTTGAGATCGTTATCGGTGCATCCCTCGCAGAGCTGGTCCCACAGTTCAGGGTAGTGCTCCTCGGCCCATGCGTCAATCTTCTTCCACGAGTGGGAGACGGGAGGGGGGGGAGGCGAGCCATCCTGGAAAGATTGCATGGGAACATCTCCGGGGCTTTGCAGCTCAAAGCCATCGTGCTGGCTCTCGCGGCGAGCAGATTGAGACCTCAGACCAGGGGAGTAGGGCGCAGAAGGGTTGGGGCTAGTTGGTGTGTAGGGCATGCCGCCGCCCTGATAGCTATTCTCGCGCGAGAATCTGTTATAATCGTCGGCGAAGGGAGAGGATACATCGGCGCGGGATTCGGAGGCAGTCGCGACGGAGGTTAGGATGCCGCTCTGGCGATTCAGAGGAACGTGTCGACCAGTTCGGTGAGGGGAGTCAATAGTAGAGTCTGAAATATGTTAATTAATGGAGGCAGGCGGGATGCAAAAGTCATTCGTGGTAAACGTACGTCGGTCGTAGCTGGTCAGATCGTGCCAGAGAGAGCGCATAGCCGCACCGAAGCCGAACCTGTCATGGCAAAGTTAATGTCTCGGCCCTCTTAGGCGTCCCAAGAAAAGGGGACTGAACGGTTGAAAGAACGGATGCCAACGTACGTGTTCGCCATGATTGGCGATGGGGCCCCTGGCCGATTTGACAAGACAATGATCCTGTTCCGGGATTGGTAAAAGAGACGTGCTCGACCGGTTGCGGTTGTGGAAAAATAAGGAAATGGCAGCGAAAGTTGGGGGTGTTGAAGAAAGTCGATTTACCCCTTTGGTCGTTGGCGTTGAGGTTAGGGGTAACGGCCGAATCGTCAAAGACAAGATGACAGCAGGTGCTGGCTGGGTAGGAGTCTCCTTAATTTAGAATACACTGTTTCTGTCCACCGCCGTTGAGGTGTTGTCGACTCGCAATGAGGGTGGGAAGTGGGAAGGAGTGTTGAAATCACGACCAGCGAAAGTATGCGGTCTGACTGGTGAATTGGGTTGTTGGAGGGAAAAAAAGGCTTCGAGTTCGTAGGCAGCGCGGTCAGGTCAGGGGCGGGCCGCGAGGGTTGGATAGTGAAGTGGCCGTGTTTATGTCTGACGGAGCGTGGAATTTTTAGAGTTGGGGACGATGGCGTAGTAAACCCGTCGCCCTGCTCGAGTGTGCCAGGCGGGTGCAAGTTGTTAGTGCAGTGAAGGAGGCGAGAGTGCTGCAGCTCTCAGTGCGACGCAGGAGAAGAAGTGGAGGCAGGTAGGTAAGGGACCTAGTGTGGTACTGGTAATGATAGGGTAGCTGTGCCTTGATATCGCTCTCTCTCGCTAGAGACCCTGGGCCAGGAAAGAAAAAGACCTGAGCAGACAGAGAGAGGTGCAGCAGGCCTGGAGAGGGTGGGCAGGGTCAAATTTGGAGACGTTGAGGCTTTCGTCTGGTTAGTTTGGTGGATGGCGCCCGGCGTGGTTTGTGGCACTTTAGGGGATGGAAGGAGCCCCAGTGTCAGTGTTTTCCCCCAGTCAGTAATTATCCGTCGACACCTCAGGAAAAGGTGAGGATACCTGGGTGTATTCGTGGTGACTTGGTGAGATGGTGGTGGACGTGGTGGGCGTCTGGGACTGGGAGAGAGAGAGGGAGGGGATGGATGGGGGGGCAGGCACGGGGGGTTCGAGTGAAAGTGGGACCTTCAGAACGGTTTAGGAGAGAAGGGGGACCCCTGGTCTCTCCTTTCTCATTAGACAAAATGAACCGGTGCCTTCCTTGCTCGAGCAAGACCAAAGACTAAAAAAGAAGAGGGAGAAAAAGCAAGCGGTGCAGCGGCGACCCTGGACGGGATCAGGATAGCGAGAGGTTAGGTCCCGTCTGTCGTCTGCTGCTGCTTCTGCGGAGTTTGTGACGAGGTGAAGCCAAGGTGAGAAAGAGAGAACACTAGTAACGAATTGGAGACGCGAAAGCGAGCGAGTGTCGGTCAGGTCGGTGAGGATGTTTCCCGTAACTTAACGAATGCTCTGGATGCGATGGTGTGCAACGATAACGAAGGCAACGATTGAGGGAAGCGATGGAGATGGAGATGAAGAGGAAGAGGAAGAGAAGGGGAAAATCAGGATGGGCGGGTGATAAGTTGGCAGCAATGGGAAGATAGTCACATAGTGTAGATGCTAGTCATCTTTGATCTTCAGGAGCACTGCAACTACTACGTAGAACCTCCCTCCGCTCAGTGTCATGTACAATCACAAACGTAGGTACATCCACGCCAGTCGACTCCCATCACACTGCAGACCATAGTACAGTAATTACAGTGCAGGTTGCTTGGTCGTCAATGTACACACTAATGAACTGGGTCACCTAGCCTCAATCAAGTCACTGCAACAGCGGGATGGCGATGGCAAAATCAGGGTGGGATTGGCACTTTGGGATGGAAGAGGGGGGCTGATGGGACGGCGTTTGACGTCGTAGGACCGGCGCCAGTACTTCGGCAGGCTTCATTCAGAGCTCAGCAATCTGACAATCTGGTAAATTGGCAGAAGGGGACCCGGAGATTCGCGCGTCAAGTGGGTGCCGCCCTTCCCATGATTCACAATCAATTGGCAGACAACTTCGGGTCCTTTGAGAGATCGTTGCCCACGACGTATCGGTAGTACCGTACATCGTAGTGACCGTATCCGTAGCCCGGGCTATTACGCGGTGTTAGGAAAGGGCAAAAAAGGCAACCTCCATCATTGATGATTGGGGAAGGGGTGTGTGGGATGG